CTATCATTAAATAAAGCTAATAATATCAATATAACAATTGCTATTGAATTTCTTTCACGTTCTATATTACGACATTTAATTCATGAAAGCCAATCTAATCCTCAATATAATAATCAACGTTTATTAATTAATATTGAAAAATGTTCAAGAAATTTATTACATATTGCTAAATGGTCACGTACTGCAATTGAAAGTAATCATGAAGCAACAACAAATAATGTTATGTCACTCGGTAAATTATTTGAATTAAGAAAACAATATCTTATTACCGGGCTGGGTGTTGATATTGCTGGAGAACCTTTCGTTCGAAAAAATATGCTTCTTGATGAATTATTAATCGGAGAATTATTAGATTTTTCAACATTAACATGTCCAAATTTAGCTAAATCATGGTTTAGATTTGCTGATTGGGCTTATCTTTGGGGAAGACAATTACTTGCTCGATCTCTACCGTATGAAGGCTCATTGATTTTGAAAGTTTTCTTCAAACTCTTCTTCTTTCTATTCTATTAGATTATCTTCACCGGATCTTGGGCAACAAGTTCGTGTAATTCTTCCATCGGTTTGTTCATATTATTTTATTTTCAAATGCTAATCATTGATTTGCTGTTTTTTAATGTTTAGGAAGTTTCATCTGACGAAGTAACGGAAATATCTCGAATTCTATCTTCAATTCGAATTTTAAATGACGATGATTCTGAACTTGTAATATTCTTCAAAAACAAAAAGATTAGTTCTAAAAAGTTTTCATTTTAGACTGCTTCTGAATTATCTTCACTTCATTCCTATCGTACAGATCTATCACGTGCTTGTTCATTACTTACAAAGCATCCAATGTTAATCGAACAATTACTTGCCTTACATCCACAATATGATTTGCGTCGTTATTTTCTTTTAGAACAATCATGTCGTGCTTATTTTACATATTTACAATTAAGTAATACAAGTACGTATGAGAAAAAATCAAATAATAACGATGATGCATCCAATGTTCTTGTTACATTACGTTTATTACGTGTACTTGTACGTTATCCTCAACAATTACGTACTATATTTGAAACACATCTTCTTAACATGCCAACTGTTGCATGGAAACGTCTTATACCACAATTATTCTCTCGTTTAAATCATCCTGATAGTTTTGTGAGAGATTATGTTACTAATTTATTAATACGTATAGCAAAAGATTTTCCACAATTAATACTTTATTCAGTTGTTGTTGGCATAACGGATGATTCAAAAATGAGACGAATAAAATCAAGAGATGATAATATTTATCAGAGAAAATCTGCGAGTACACATGAATCAGAAGATGAAAAGTCACAAGATGATATCGACGAAGATGACGAAGAAGACGATGATGAAGAAATGGAAGAAGAAGACGATATTGAAAAACAAGAAAATGCTGTCGCTATGCAAAATAGTTTTCGATTAATTTATAATGTACTTTCGGAAACAAATTCACATGTTGTTGGACAAGTTAAATTATTTGTACATGAATTACGACGTGTTACTGTTCTATGGGATGAACTTTGATTAGGAACAATGGCACAACTTCAGGAAGAAATTAGTCGGTTAGCTTAGCGGGAGTAACGTTAGAAAAAAAAACATCTAATTGATTCGTTTTATTTAATTTAGACGTGTCGATGTCCTTAAAGAAGAACTTCAACGTCTTGAATCTATGACACATTTAACAAAGGATGAAAAAGAATTTCTTATTAAAGAAAAACAAGATGTTTTATTCAAATCTGTAAGTTTTTATAGTTAATCTTAACTAAAACTTTTCTTTTCAGTTTATTACTATTCTCGAAGCAGTTAGTCATTTATTTAGATAGGTTTATATTTCATTTAATCTACCAGTTATATCTTTGAATGGTTTTCAAAGCAAAGAAATACGTTTGCGTTTGTGATCAAGGTATTGACTTATAGGAAATGTTTTGGCATGTAGAAAATGATGTTCACACAGTTTGTGTACCCCACGCTTCGAGGTTACAAGTGTCGGCATCACAACGATTTCGACCCGTTTTCTAATGTCAACATTCTTGCGGAGAAGAATCTGTTCCAACTTCGATCACTATCATCTCGATAGTATAACATAAATCCTAACGGGAATATATACGTATGTACTATATTTGAAACTGAAATTCCTTCATATTTTTCATTTATGCCGTCAAAATAAGAGACTGAACTTATCCGATATAATTTCAATTCAGTTCGCATGGAAGCGTAGGCAAGTGAGAGACCGAATACAGATCCACATTTGGAACCAAACAGTCAAAGGTCAAAGCCAAGAAACACCTATATTCATAATCATGTCATGATTTAGAACACCTCTAAGAGAATTGTTAACCAAGCTTGTGTTTCTGACGAGACAATACGATGAAACAAAAAACAAACTTTGTCTTTCATAATAGAACATGTCCCATCAGTGCTCATCTTCAGTAATATTATTACAGAAATACCTAAAGATGATCTACGATTCTTTGCATTTCATTTTGCAAAAATCAAGCTTAAATAGATCTTTTGCAGTAACTAGAAACTATCGTGTAAATCACTGCAAACAATTTGGAGATATTTGTCTAACTTGAATAATACATTGCAAAAACAAATAACATAATTCATAATTTTTTTTCGTTTTCAATGGTCATTTAATGGTAGAAACTATGATCGGAAATTATAGCGAGATTTCTCTCTAACTTTTAATTTATAGTTACGTTCTTTTGAAATGAAGTGAAAACAGATTACCAGGTCTTAGCGACCAAAATTTAAACTTAATCTAAACCTATGTTATTGGCATATTACATTAAATTAATGTTTCTTCTTCTTCTTCTCGTGTAATTCACTGAAAAATCAGTAAAGTCTGCTCGTATAGAGATAAGTTGGGGATCGTCTATGAGAGCTGTCTCTTCCGGCTTACTGTCTCTATTAGTATTGGTTTAAAATTTTCTTTTTTTAATAATGATAAAATCAATGAAAGAACAAACTGCGATGATCAATTTTTCTCCGCTGAATAAAATTGGTTTCTTTGTTGAGTTGGCGTGGAATTTCATATCGTTGTATTCCTTGGTTTTTACATATCTTCAACTTCTTTCACGACTACTTCTGTGCAGTATATTTGATCTCATCTTTTTAAATTGAGTGAGTCTAAGTTGAATTTTGGATATGTTGTACAAATTTTGATTCTACACAAAACCCTAAGAACACATTCAAAAAATAAGGGCATACTGGGCCTGAAAAATATCTAAAATTGCTTTTCACCGAGTGAATATCATGCAAACATTCATTCATTTCGACCTCTTTAAGTACCTGAGGGCGAGTACAGGAATAATGAAAAATTTTAAAAGGAAAATTGTTCTCTTGTAATTTAATAGTAATTGTCTCAAACGATAGACATTTATCGCAATATATGACAATAAGTAATATTGAATGTTCTTTAAAATCATAAACACAATTATTTTTTCTGTTGTTACAAAGATGGATGTAACATTAATAGAGCGAGCATAGTATTTAAATAGTTTATCTAATAAATGCATATTCTCATCAATTGCAGACAAACTATAATATTCCGTTGGATCAATTTATTGTCATAATAAAATCGCCGTTGACTATTAGGCGTTAGTAGGAAAAAAGCGGCATCAATGAATGATGAAAGCAATTCAAATGTTTATATTTTCAATTTGAACTATTTCAGACAGATACATGGTAAATATTTCAATTATATACTAATCACTACTCGTTTGAAGCTTTCGAATAAGCATACTTTTCTCCTTCGAGAGCTTAACAATACAATTTAGAAGAGAGAATAATCCACATATTGAACAATATGCACCTTGAAAATTAACTTAACAATACTATGTCTGTACGTGTTATTATTTTTTCAATATTACATCATATCTATTTTGATAGTAGATTTTGGATTAAAAAAGAAACAAATTGATTTCTAAATAAAAACGGAAAACTTTCACATAAGACAATACAAATTGTCTTCATTACTTTTCTAGTTCAAATATCAGTCGCTGTTTTCGTGTGTCAAACAGCCCGATGAACATTCATGATATTGAATGTTTAAAGATGATCATCTGTTTGACGTAATTCCTCTAAGGAGAAAAAACAAAACCCGTTATGATCAGACAAATAACATGTTTAATATTTATTTAGCTCGACATAGGCATTTAGTTAATTCATCATCTCTTTCCCAATTAGAAGCGATCGAATCACTTGTCAACACAAGTCTATGTTTGATTGTAGAACATGTCAAGTCAAGTATTTCATAATATCGTCAAATCTATACAATGAAAAGATCATCGATTTAGAACAAAAGAATAATCAATTTTTGTTTGTGATTTTTAATTAGGCACGTTTTAGAACAAAACAAAAACAGAGACAGAAAGTTATCTAAAATCTAAAATTTAAATGTCAGCATTAGTATAAAACGTAAGAACGAAGGAAGTTATTCAACATTTCTTCTTCGTCTTGTTTCTATTCACAATTACTTATCGACCGACAATAAAGTAAGATATTTATTTAGAGCTTTATACTCTCTTCGCCTTAAACGAACAAATTCTCTGTTATCTAATGCGAAAAAAAAGGATAAAGGTAAAAACACTGATGACAATGACCAACCAACATACACATACTTATATCGACAATGAAGATTGCAAATCGAATCTTTACAACTAGAAAATATTTGAAAGATATTTTTCTACAACTCTAAAAATTAAATAGGTAGACTTACTATATTAACATGTTTTTAATCTAGGCTAATCGTTAATTATTTTTAGAAAAGCAATAATAATGTTTGCAAGAATTTTTCTCATTTCTATTGTACAATTATATATTTTTCGAACATCCTTTTGTCTTTATTATGGACATGAAGTTGGTCATACATCGATGGAGTCAACACATTATGATCGTCGAATTCTACAACAGCAATGTCCAATAAATAATCAATTAAAAGAATCACATCAAACTACCTATTTAGCTAACTTTAAATCTTTTCCATTGACATCAACAATCAACAATGGAAGTGGTTTAATATCATCTCGTAAACAATTTATCGTTAGTTATGAAGAAGATACACTTGTAACAAGAGCTTCTTCGGATACGATTGATGTTAATAATAGATCACCGTTGAGTATGGATCAAGCTGCACTTGATATTATTGTTGACAAACAAGTAAGAATGATAATTAATTATTCTATAGATGATGTAGCAAAAATGATCACCTTTTCGGACTAATAACATTAGAATATCATCGTAGTTTAATCCAAGGACGTATTCGATTAGCAAATATAATATATGCATGTGTTTTAGAAAGTTTTGTTTTTCTTTCTTAGCTACTTATACTAAAAAGATAAAGTAATGCAGAGATGGTGCGTGCTAAACGATTTGCATGTTTTCAAAATATGCTTGTGAAAATTTATCATTATTTAATTTCTTTCGTTCATTTAGATTATCGGTAATCTATCGGTATACGTTCAAGTACTTGAATGTACCAATTGTCCCTATAAAATAGTCACCGAAGATTTGTCATCAAATAAAATATTTAATTTAACAATCAATACAAAATACAATTATCGTATTCGTATAGAATTACATAATACATCATTTTGTGTCCAAACTCTAGCTCTATATGAATATGGTCAATCTGTTCTCAATGTACAAATGTCGTCAACAACAACAAATTCAAGTTCAACTTCGGATATTAAATGTACATTAACTGCGCGACGTTCGGGAAATCACATTTATGTACCATTAATTGTTGGTGGCATTATATTATTAATATTATTCATAGTTTGTTTATTTGCTCAACGAATGAAACTTCGCGAACGTTTAATAAATCTTCAAAACCGTTGTCTGAAACGTATACCACAACAAGAATCCACACTTTCCTATGATTTGCAAACACGTACAACGCCAACAGCAACAGCAACAACAGCGACTGATACAATTATTGCAACAGATGCAAATCTAGCTATAACTAAAATACCGCCAATACATAAAATATCTAACGTTGTTGTACCTCGATCAAAACGTCTGTTGAGTCTTGATGCATTTCGTGGTTTTGGTAAAGACAAATAATAATAAATGAAATAGAATAATGTCGCTATTTGTTTGTCATTTTTAGCTATGATAGCAATGATATTTGTTAATTATGGTGGCGGTGGATATGCTCAATTTGAACATGTACCCTGGCATGGAATAACATTTGCCGATATCGTATTTCCATTCTTTGTTTGGATGTTAGGAACATCATTAGTATTTTCATTAAAAAATTCCATTGATAAAAGTGTTCCAAAACGAACACTACTGAAAAAAATAGCCATACGTACAATCAAATTATTTGTAAGTTTTACGACTAAACTCGTATTCCTTAAATACATAAGAAAATAATTTGAAATATTAGCGACCACTTTCTTTTCTATCTACTGTTTTCCTTTTCTAAAAGACTATTCACGCTGAAAAATCATGACAAAGCTCTTTGTTTATCTTAAGCTTTATTATGATTAAATAAAAGAGTATTTGAATAATTAAAGTGCCTTGCTTTTCATTGTTCTAAAATATTTTTCCCTGGAAAGCCAATAAATTAGAAAAAAACGAAAGGTTTCACGCTCGAGACATCTACATATTCTATTTAGCAGAACAAAACATTGATTTCTATTTAGTTAATTGGTTTCATACTTAATACACGTTTTAAAGTTGATCTTGCCATAGTACGTATTCTTGGTGTTTTACAACGATTTGCTATTGTCTATGGTGTTATTGCAACAATTGAAGTACTTTGTTCACGGCCAGAACAATACATAATACCAACTAGAGAGCAACCATCAATGTCAACAGTTGCAGTTAAATCAGGAAGATTACAACGTATACTTACACTTTTCTGTGATATAACAAATTTTCCTGTTCAATGGTTAATTAATATAGCTCTAGCTGCTATTTGGGTGCTTGTTGTTTACTTAGTACCCTATGAAAATTGTCCAGCTGGATATTTAGGGCCTGGTTAGTATATTCACAAAATTCTTGTTTTAATCTACGCACGAATTATTTACGTAGGTGGATTAGACGAAAATGGTAAATATGAAAATTGTACAGGTGGAATAACAGGCTATATCGATCGGGTTATTTTTACGGATAAACATCTTTATCAATATCCCACATGTCAAGCTGTTTATGGTAGAAATCAAATATTTTTTGTTGCATGGGAAGAATACAAGAAAATATTTTATATTTAGGATGTAACATAGCGTTTGATCCTGAGAATTTATTTGGTGCTATGCCAACAATATTTCTAGCTTATCTAGGCGTTCAAGCTGGACGAATTTTAGGTTTGGAATTGTCTTTTCAAATTACTTTTTTTTTTTATCAAATTTAACTTTTCTTTAGTTATGTATCAAAATCATGCTGATCGTCTTGCACGTCTTTTTACATGGAGTATCTTAAGTACAATAATTGGTGTTGGTTTAACGGCAGGTACACTCGATAGTGGACCAATGCCGTTGAATAAAAATATTTGGACATTATCATTTTCATTTTTTACTGGTATGAAAACGATCTGGCCTTCTTTTTATTCTGCAAACAAAAATATTTTACTTTTTTTTGTTTATTTCTAGCTGGTTTGGCATTTGCTGGATTTGCTTTGATGTATGTGTTTATTGATCTTCTTAACTGGTGGAATGCAACACCGTTTCAATATCCTGGAGCAAACTCAATACTTATCTATGTAACACATCTTGTTTTTGCAACTTATTTTCCTGTACAATGGGTTGTAGTTAATACACATGCAGCACATCTTGCTATGGCTTTATGGGGATGCATTTTCTGGATTATTATTGCATATATTTTGTTTAAAAAACGAATCTTTTTGGTGCTTTAACGCATAGAAAAACAAATCACAATTTAGAACATGAATTTATTTGTAAAAATAAACTCTTTTGTTGAAGTTCCTTGGTGCTTTTGGTTGATTGTTGTGTGACCTCATCTTTTACTCTTTTTCGTCGCTACATTTAAAGAATCTCTGCTGTTTTTGTTTCGTTCCATTATCTTTATTCGAATAAATTCATCGAAGAGTTACTTCATTTTATTTTTTACAGATTAGAACACGACTGTATTGATCATATATTTTGTTCATATCAATATTTTTATTTTATTTTAATCAATCGAGCTGCTCAAATAAATACTGTGTCTAAGAAACGCTAATATTTGAAAGTAGACTACATGGTGATCGTAACTGTTCCTAAGGGTACGTATCTGTGGCCTTTAATTCATAGATTGCTTTAGAGAAGAGTACGACCTTGTTCTTTCTTGAGCTGAAAAGAAGTTGTGACATATGGCAGCTGTCTTTTGCAATGTATTTTAAAAAGCTTAAGAAGGCAAAGTAATTGCATGAACTTTACAAGTGAGCTACATCGATACGCTGGATAATTCAATGTATTAAGTTAAATTATGGCTTTAATTTCACTGATTTTTCTATGTGAAAAATAAAAGCATATAAACTTCTATATTTAAATAATTACATTATTTTTTCTTTCAGAAAATACTTTTTTAAATAAGTACTTGACGCAATAGTATTCATTTTCAAAGAACATCAACTCATTCGAAACAGACTTCTAGCGATGCAGAAAAAAAATATCATTATGATATTTGATAAAGTGTATTTTTCTTTCAAAGTTTTTTTTTTTTAACATGATGAAGTTACAACAAATTCACGCAAAGCAGCTGGTAGGACAAAAGTATAAAATTAAATTCTTCATTTCTGTTTTACTAACCAACTAAGTGCTGGAACTGTTGGGTCATCCCATGCTATTCGAATCTTTTTAGTAGTATAGTGCTAGAAAAATGAAATAAGCAATCATTCGGAAACAAAACCTTTCAAAGTAAAGTTCATCACGTACTCGATTAGTATAAGCCATAAGTTTATCGAGTTTATTTGATAAACGTTGAATTGGATCGACGATTTCACTAACCGTGATTACAGTCGAATTTGTGTTAAAGGTTACTCTATTTACACTATCGTCATTGCTTCCTAAGAAAACTTCAGGTATAAGAAGAAGAAAAAAATAGCATTGAAAAAAGTAATCTACCACAGCAGTGTTGTATTCTTTTGAGCAAAGTAATGAACATATCTTGATCGTCATGATCCATTCTATGAATATGATTTCGGACCTTTCGAAAATTATCATTAATAATTGAAACAAACATATTCATGCATACAAAAACAACGAAAAGAATAAATAATGAAAAATAAATTGGGCCCAACATCGGCGCTGCTCCCGTAATTTGCGACGTGTTAAATTTTAATAATAACAACTCAAATAACATCTGTGCCGTAAGCAATAAACTTGAACATTCCCAAATAAATGAAGCAAATTGTAAATAAAATAATACAAGAAATGCCATAAATATAACTGCGAACATAAATGAAAACGAAACGAGTTCTGGTGTTGCATTTGACAGTGTATCAGATAAAATTGCTAAACGTCGACTATACCGACATAAACGTAAAATTTTCAATGTAACAAAAAAACAGCAAAAAGCAAGTAAAAGCGAAAATAGATCATTGAGATATGCCAATAATTGAATATTTAAATAGGCATTACCGTGTGTCTGATGAAACAAACTGGTTACACGTGATGTTTCTTTTACTTGCCATATGTGTACGCCAACACTGGCCCATGAACAAGAAATAATACCGATTTCAATGTACGACCATACACGACGAAAATATGACTTTTTAAGACAAATAAATGTATAGACTTCGACGATCATGAAATAGACAATAAATATTAAATAAATAACGGCAACTGTTATTTGAAATATAGATCCGAAATCTAAATAGAAATTGCAATACGTAAAGGTTAGATTAATTTTTAAATAAAACAAAAATTGTTTACTGTTAACATCGAATGGGTCAAAACGTGCAGTTGGAACAATACCACTACTTGATAGTATTTCAACGAGTATTACTACCGATGTAAATATCGGTATATTGGGAGTGTATAAATTCAGTTGAATTAGAACAGCTCTTGTTTGTTTATCAATCCATTGTAATTCACGAAGCGTCGTAAGATCCTGGTGTAAATCAGATAATGAACCACGAAATTCATATACATAGCCACCAGTTCTATACGTAGCCTGATCACCCACGTATATATATGTATCAAGTTTATCACCTGTTTGATAAGTAAATGCTTCGTTTATCGAGGAGCTATAATTTTGTGTTGTTTCATTAATAGACCATCCTGGATAAAATATTCGTTTTTCTTCATTGGACGCTGTATAACTGCCGAAGCAATGTGGAATCAAATTTCGAACAGCATTTACTATTGGGCAAGTATCTGAAAAAGGAAATTAGAATTCTAAAATCTCATAGATCATTTCGATTAAGATTCAATTCAATCGTCCTCAGAAAAGCTCATGCACCATTGCTTTTTCTCCTTTAAAATCTATTCCATTCTTTTCATCATATGGTCAAAAATAGTAACACTCAAAAACCATGTTACTGCCAGAATTTAATTGTCATTCTTCGACTTATTCATGAAAACATACAATAGTTTGTTCTTGAGTTTTTTCAAAGTAGTCGCATACGATTTTCGATTTATCTCATTCGGACGTCTAACTAGCTACTCCACTTAGATTATAGTCAGATAAATGATTCGTTTGATCCACTATTAGGAATTATATTTATATGCAAAACTAAATGTGTGGCCTTTATCGGAAACGAAAAAGACTTTTAAATATGTTCAAAATACTAGATGTCTAATTACCTTTATTGAACTTGCCGTGTCAATAATTCAATTTCAACAAAGAAATCGATATAATAGAGATGACTTTTATCGAAGATTTAACAAAATTTTCTTCGAAATATTTCGCTTAATATCATAGATTGGAAAACTGGTAAAAACTAACCTGGCCTAATTCGTAACTGTCTCATTGTTGCCCATCCTATCAATCGATTTGTTTTATCACTAATAAATCCATTAGAATCATTAGCTGATTGTCCATTATACCAATCTCCGGGGAAAAGATTCGCTATAAAACTTCCTTTTAGCCACCTCCAATATTCATCAATTGTGGCAATCTTTAAATATATGATTAAAAAGAAACGAGAAGATTTTTCAATAGAGTCAAAAGTAACAAATTCTTACGTGTGAAAAATCATGAGTTGCATTACCCCTGTTTAAAAATAACAGACGCAACTGTTGAACTTGATAATATCTGTCAGTATTATGTGATGAACAGCTGATTACATAGATTACAACCGTGAAACTTAGATAACATAATAATTCCAAACAAAATTTCCACATTTGTTTCTTTTTGACAAAGATCACACATGAAGAAAGTGATGACAAGTCACTACAAAAACTAAACACCTACTGAAAGCTATTTATTTAACAAATAATCATTAGTTAAAGAGAAATACGGGAAAAAAAGTTCTGCAACAATGCCGGAAAAAATAAACCATTTGTTTGATGAGAAATAAATTAGATTTTTTAAGAACCATTTTTCTTTTCCTAAGTAGCAAGACTATTTTGTTTAAATTAGAAAAAAGAGACGGTGCACAACATCATCTATGAAATTGATTAACGCATTGTTGACTTGTTTCATTTATTAAAACATTTTCCATTGCTTCACGATATCATTTCTGAAGGGCTAGAACATAAAGAGAGAGTTGGCGTTGTTTGTATTCATAATGAATCTTAATACTTGGAAAGGGAAAAAGTCGAATAGATCTCAGACTGCTTATGAACAGATGTTAGAATTGTGTATGGAACAAATTTGACTATTTTTAATAAACATACTTTTATTAGTACAGAAAGAATTTTTACTATAATAATTAGTAAAATAAAATAAAAACAAAGCTATGACTAAAGGGAATAATAGTTTGAGGAAGCGCTGTATCAAAATGCGAAAAAAAGTGAGTTTCGAGGTTACGAGATTTTTCAAAGAATCTTTCTAACTCTGTCACAAATCAAGAATAGGCCAGATACTCATTAGAAATACAGTAAAATCTTAAATTTGTACAAATGTATTTATAACGATTCTTGAAATTTCCGCTTTTGTAACCAGTGAATTAAGGAAATGCATTTCTACATTACTATGGAGTTGGTTTGAGAAATCATTCAAGGCATCGCATTGAGCTATTGGTCAAGAAATCCATATCAAGGAGTACAATAATAATTTCGTCACAGTTTAGAAGAGATCGTTATCAAAATTTGAATAATATCAGAGCGTTGTTTGCAAATATGTTTACTTGAATTAGACGTTCGAAGAAATGAATTTTAAAATATCACGTCTATTAATGTCATGTAAAAATTAAAGAAAAAATTTGTATTTCTTGAAATAAAAGCAACATTTCCTGCAAATTTACCAAATTATTTGTAGTGGATTTTAGACAGGACACTTTTCTCTGAATGTTTATTCAGATCGATGCAATTTATAGGTGTGTGCACAGCAGGCTTATTTCATAATGATGAATTCTAAAGATATATAATGTATTTTTTTCCGCACTTTATATCTTCTTCTAAAAAATCAATCTTTTTTTCAGAGTAAAAATAGATTTAAGTGGAAAATGAATCAACAGAAGCCGACCTCTCTCGTCTCGCGATTCTTCAGCAACAAAAATACAGCCAATGCAAGAGAAATCATTTTTCTGTTCTTTTTCTTCACGTGCAAACCATACAGAGATATGTACTATAAGGACCTTATCAGCAACAGAACGGATAACGTACTTAGACATGAAAAGATCATTCAGTCGATGCATGCTAGGATAGATAGACGGCGAGAGAATATTTCGAACAAATGACCGAGATATTCATGCAGAGTTTTATAGATTCATCTTTAGTACGGTGACATGAATAGTATTCAATGTGATTTTTCTATTTTCTAGAGTAAAATGTCAACAACAGCAAAAACTGGAGTAGACGATGGCACACCACCTGAATTAGAAAATCTATTAGAACTTGATTCATATTTGAAGCCACACAAGGATGAAATTAAACGACGGTATAAATTTCAATCATCATAAACAAAATAAATATATATATATACACACATGGTCTCTATTTGTTTTTCTTTCAGTTATAAAGAATTCATGTTACAAGTTGATCGAATAAATGTCGAAGAAAATGGTATTGATACATTTACATCAGCTTATAAACATTATGGTGTTCATCTCGATAGTCGTACCAATGAAATTAAAGTTAAAGAATGGGTGCCCGGCGCACGTGCTGTTTATATTCGCGGAGATTTCAGTTTGTGTTCAAAATTTAAAAAAAAAATTTCCTATAATAACATTTTCTTTTGACATATAGATCAGTGGCAAGAAAAACAATACCCATTATCACGTGATCAATGGGGTAAATGGACAATTACTATTCCACCGTTAGCTGATGGTTCACCAGCTATTAAACATGGACAAGCCGTTAAGGTAAAATTTTCTTTTCTTTTCGTTTTATTTGAATTGTTTTTCTTATCGGTTTGATTTTAGTTACTCATCGAAACACCTAGTGGTGAATTGGTCGATCGCCTTTCTCCCTGGTCACGTTATGTTCAAGTCGGCAAGAACACGAATGTATACCACGGTGTTTTCTATAATCCACCAGTTGATCAAGTTTATAAATTTAAAAATACTCGACCAAAAAAGAAAGATCGTTTGAAAATCTATGAAGCACATATTGGAATTAGTTCGTGGAAAGGTGAAGTTGCAACATATGAAAATTTCCGTGTTAATGTTCTTCCGCGAATCGTCAAACAAGGTTATAATACAGTTCAATTAATGGCTATTATGGAACACGCTTATTATGCTAGTTTTGGTTATCAAGTAACTAGCTTTTTTGCTGCTTCAAGGTTCGTTTTTTAAGCACGAATGCGTGTGCATTTTTTCATCGAAACATTAATTTTAGTCGATTTGGTACACCTGAAGAATTAAAAGCCTTAATTGATGAAGCACATGGACTTGGTTTAACTGTTCTATTGGATCTTGTTCATAGTCATGCTTGTAAAAATACATACGATGGTCTAAACATGTTCGATGGCACAAATAGTTGTTTTTTTCATGGATCTCCACGAGGTTTTCATGATCTTTGGGATAGTCGATGTTTCAATTATACGGAGTAAGTTAAATGAAATTATTTACAGTAGATTAGATAAAACAGTTTTTAGCGATTGTTCATATATATATATATATATATTATAATCGATAGCTGTTTTAACTACTTAACCGTAAATATTGACTTGAAAGAGATATATAATTATTAATTATTAGAAGAATTAAAAATCCCTTCTAAGTTCTTGACCAATAATAATATTTTTTTAAATATTTGAGTCTAGTCCGAGGCAACTCTCGATAAAATTTTAGATTGTATCGTTTTACTCATTAATTTTAATATATGAATATTGTCTTTTATATTGCCTCGCAAAATATCCTAATCTATTGCTTAAAAAAATTCTTTTTGTTCTTTATTTAGACGTGAAGTATTACGATTTCTTCTTTCGAATGTTCGATACTGGTTAGAAGAATTCAGATTTGATGGATTTCGATATGATGGTGTTTCATCAATGCTTTATCATTCACATGGCATTGGTATATTTAATATAGTTTTAATTTCAATGTGTTTATAAATCTTTTTTTTGTAGCACATGGGTTTTCCGGTTCCTACGATGAATATTTTGGTTTAGCAACTGATACGGAATCATTTAATTATCTTCAATTAGCTAATTATGTTTCACAAACATTATATCCAGAATCTATTACGATTGCAGAAGTATTATTTGAATAAATCTTGTTTATTTTGTATCCAAGTATATGTTTGCTCTAGGAAGTATCAGGAATGCCAACATTATGTCGTCCGATAGCTGAAGGTGGTGGTGGATTTGATTATCGTTTAGCTATGGCTATTCCAGATGTTTGGATAAAAGTTTGTATTTTATTTATTATTAATGTAAAAACAAAAACTAAGGTTTCTATTCTTTTGTTTATTTTAGTTATTAAAAGAGAAAGCAGATGAAGACTGGCAATTTGGCGATATAACATGGACATTGGCTAATCGCCGATGGTCAGAAAAAAATATTGCCTATGCTGAAAGTCATGATCAAGCGCTTGTTGGCGATAAATCGATAGCGCAATGGCTATTTGATGCAGAAATTTACACTAATATGTCAGTTTTCAGTGATCGTACTCCAATCATCGATCGTGGTTTAGCGTTACATAAAATGATTCGTTTAATCACCTATGGATTGGGTGGAGAAGGTTGGCTAAATTTCGAAGGTAAACGAATCATTTAAAATTGATATTTATATACATATTTTGTTTCTTTTGTAGGTAATGAATTTGGTCACCCAGAATGGCTCGATTTTCCTCGAGCTGGAAATAATGATAGTTACCATTATGCTCGTCGTCTTTTCTATCTAACTGAAGATGACACATTGAGATATAAATTTCTTAATGCATGGGATCAAGCTATGAATAGTCTTGAAGAAAAATATCAATGGCTATCAGCTAAAAATACAGTTAAGTCGTAATGGCAAGAACGTATAAAGAAATATGCATCGGTAAATTTTGATATATTTAGTATATAAGTCGAACTCATCAAGGTGATAAAGTTGTTGTGTTTGAACGTGGTAATAACGGTTTATTATTTGTCTTTAATTTTCATACAAGTCAAAGTTTTACTGATTATCGTATTGGCTGTGGTCAACCGGGAAAGTGAGTGCTAAACTTTTTTCTTGTTTTCTATACGATCAATTGTATTTTATTAAATAGTTATAAAATTGTACTCAGCTCGGATGCAAAATCATTTGATGGTCATGATCGTATTGATATGAATCAAGTATTTACAGCTGAAGACTATAAGATTGATGGACGACCCTATTCATTTCGAGTCTACACACCATGTCGTTCGGCTTTCGTACTTGCTCTAGTAGATGATGCCAAATAAATGCAGAAATAATTTTATAACAACACAAAATATCAAGCATCCTATTGCTTTTCATCTCGTTCGAATTCTGTACACGATTTATTTTCCTCTCGCTTTTTTGTTATTGTTAATCTTGCATTTTATTTATGTTCCAGTTGTTCATCTCTATATTGTTGATCTTTATAAATGCGGTTCGTTTTGTCAACGGTATTGACTAAATGAATATTCCTTTTTGTCTTTCGATCGTGTTTTTGTAACGTATATACCAAACTTTTTAGGATAAACACAATATTATAGAAAAAAGATAGATTTTAAAACCTGTTTAGTATTTGTCATTAAAATAAATATAATTACAGTAAGATATTATCTATTCAAATATCGACTGAATTAGATATGAATCATATACAATATAATACCCTACATTTTCTATACATTCTAATTGCAATGAATTTATGATATTCTATCGTAGCTAGGTCAAAAGTGACTTTGGATAATTTAGATGTTATGAACACTTGGGTAGAAAATATTTCGAAATATTTAAATTCAATTCATACGTGGGTAAAATCGAATAGACACAGCATTTCTTATATATATATATCCGATAAGTTAATGGTTTTGCTTCCGCACAACATTTTAGACGTGTGCCGGAGCCCTTCTTTTATTGTGAGTAATCAAAGCCGGATCTGAAACTATGCTTTCGGCTCCGGATAACCTTTTGCGGATGCTGAACTCTATGGTTAATCTATCACACTTTTCTACCTAATGTACGAAGTGAACTTCACAGGATAATAAATGTAGCTGAACTCGATAAGAACATCCGTAATTTTCCATTGCTGCGAATCCAACTACTGAGAAAATATGACAAATACACTGTATTGGCTGCGCCATCGAAACCTATCTATGAACAAACTCTTTACCAAATGTTTTCTTTCCTTTTGCAATATATCTTATCTCTTGTGACAACAACATCGTCATATCTCTCAATGGAAAAACACAATTTAATATGCTCTTTTTGACTACTAACCACTACATGATCAAAATAAAAAATAATATTATTGATTTATTTAGATTGTTCCATGATGAAATCTAAATAAAGTTTTCAGACGTCATATTGATAAAAAAAACCATCTGATATAATATTCATGGTGGCTCTAAATAACAAAGTAGTTATATAAGCAGTACGAGAAAAAAATCGATAATTAATTTCATTCGGTTTCTTGAAAAGAAAAAGAATGATTATTCCTTTTCATCACAATTCTGTACTTTGTGTTCAATGTAATCATTGAAACAAATTGTTATCTTTCTTCTTACAGTACTTGTCATTTTTCACAAACATTCGATTCTCCATCGGTTCTTGCTAATCAATGCAATAAAGCTCACTCCGATTATCTCAGCCAAGTTAACATTAAAATTAATTATGCTCAAAATAATTTTCAAATCACTTTCGGATCAGAGTTTTATGATGAAAACCGATCAATCAATGATAAATATGACTATGTAGAAGAAAAGACAAAAATTGATTTTACACAAATTAGTACAGAAGTTTTTTATTCATGTACTTGAGAAGATCAATGCAAAGGAAAATTCTTACTTAAAAATCCACAAAAATGACTCGAAAACGATTATACAAAAATGCAAAATTCATTAATGGATATTGTCATGAATCGCGAATCCGCGTCATTAACCTGTAACCAAGGTTTGAGAGGAGAGCCTGTTCAATGTAATGATAAATCTTTTAGTGAACGAAATCAAATCATAGGTTTAACAACAAGCAATGCAGTTCACAAAAACGATTCGCCGACCTGTCAATTAACAAAAAGTTCACTTTATGTTGCCATCATAGCTACTAAAATTTCAATGGACGATAGAATAATGTTAAGTCGTCAAATCTGGATCGCATGCTCAAAATATTATTGCAACAGTAAAGAAACAATGGATCGCATTGAAAGCATTGCTAAAAAATCATTATATAGCTTTTTGTCAGCAATAGAATGAACAATAAAAAACAAATTTTCAGAAACTTTTGTAATTATTTGTTGTCACAGTCGAAAACAAAAATGATTTATTTTTGCGTACTCGAAAAAAAGTGAATACACTATAGAATCGGTCAGTGTGTCCGGCCGGCCGTTTACACGATAGCTGCTGAAAGGCTGATCCGATTGTCATGAAATTTTGTACACAGAATGATCTCATCAATATTTCAGTCAAGTTCGAAGATGAGAGGGATCCGTCAAGAAATGGCTGAGTTATCGAAAAAATTGCCATTATTGACCAGACCATCCCTGAGGGAGGGGGGGGGGGGGTACAGGGATTTTTCAAAAAACTTTTTTTTCTCAGGATTATTCACAACATATATAAATCGACTCAGTTTTTGTAGTACACATCACAATTGAATGCAAATCCGATATTTCCGCATTTATTTTATTAAAGGCTAGGAACTTACTGCACATTTTTCCATTCGAGATTAGACTTTATCATCGAAAAAAAGCCTACTCAAAAAAATGTATTCATGCATTACTATTCTTTTTCATGCCGCTGATATTTAATTGAGATCATTTAGCATCTATCAATAAGACTTCAATGAATTTCCTTGATGTTTTGTTTTTTCTAAACAATTGAACAAATGTAAGGTGAATAAACAAGAGAGATTTTATCATGTTCAAACTCAATTAGATTAGTCGTTTTCTATTTGTATTAATGAATGTTATTAGAAAAAGCACTTTGTTCTTATACATTATGGTTCCGCTATTATCAAATGAATACAAACAATATGTTTAGTTTCTTGAGCAAGAATTCGATTTTATACGGTGAATAATAATCTGTCGAGCTTAAGCAGTCGTGATAGTATATAAAAAAAAGCCTATGTGTCATTTCAACTTAACGTATAGATCTAAGCAGATTAATAGGGTGTACGAGAAAGGTTAAAACTTCATATTGAAACATCACGATACACATTTTTACTGCAAAAAGATTCATAAACAATAGTATCATATTAGTGAGACTTTTTTTTCTAAAACTATTTCACTGTGAAACAATCATTATTCTCGATGTTTCATCGAATAACCTAATAATAAAATGTGCCCATTAAGTTTCCACTAGAATTTATATAATTATTCAAAGTTGCCTCGAGCAGGCTCTAGAGGTGACCTTTTCGATCGTGAAAATTTTGCCGGTTTTCTTCAGTGTTTTCTTTTTTCTACAAACTACCGAAAACACGTTTGGCCCTCGGTCTCAATCCGGACGACCTCGAGTTATCTCTTTAATTATTAAATGTGCAATAACTATTTTTATTGATCAAACAGAATACAACTTCCTGAACTTTTATGTTCCTATCGAAAACTCGAACGTGAAGAAGTCTGTATCATGTGGGTGCAGAATATACTGAAACAAAATTAAATTGATTAGCTCTTTTATGGAGTAACAAAATTAATAGTATTAGTAATTAGTATCGGTCAACATTCCTTCGAGTATATGTATCTAAATTATATCAGGAAATGCCCCTGAATAGAACTCAATTATTCATTATTGTTCAGTGTTTTCTTTTTATTTTAGGAACTTACATAATAATAGTAATACGATGGAGAAAATTGCATATGATTCTATCGTTTATGGCTATTCTCTATTTTGCGTTCATGAATTTTATGCTTGTAGAAATAAAAAAAAACGGCAGAATGATTGAAAGTTAGGTAAGTCTTATGATTGACCTCCTCTTTCCGTTTCTGATTATATATATATATATGTATATATGATCAGTGATGTAACCGATTGGAGGAACCCTTTTCTTCTTTTTTTTCCATTATTATTTCATTTGCACAAGTTCTAATTTCTTTTCTTGTTTACAGCAGGCTTCTCCATTCTGTTTTTGCATTAATTCGAGAATACGAATATCTAAAGCACCCTTTTTTACTTCTCATTGCTTTACTCTCTCATTCCCTTGTTATATCGCATTCCTTTCATCAACATTATAGTTCAAGGTCCGTTCAGGGTTATTTCTTCATTTGTATATATGCGTAGATATGTGTTTGAACAGCAGCTTTTATGAGAGAGAAAAAGCAAAAAAATTGCGTACGTAATCGAGGCGAAATTATCAAATAAAAAAAAAAGGAATGAGAAAAAGAATACACTGTTTTGAAAATGGAAGTAATATCCTATTTAATGTGACAACGACCAGTTCGCACAGATTCTCAAGGTTGTTATACACATAGGCATATTTAGTACAGCCTTGAGTCATACACTCGATCGATAAGTTCTTGTCTTTTTTTTTCTTTACATATTCGTTCATTGATTTAATCATATAAAGAGAGAGAGAGAGAATATTCGATTGCGTCATGCGCATTCATTGTCATCGTACTATGTTGATAACATTTGTGTATTTTTGAGAAAGAAAAGAAGAAAAGAAAATAAAAGAAAAGAAAGGAAAGGAGGAGACAAGCAAGAAAGAACACAAGCAGCAATATTTGTTCTTGAACACACCATCATTACGCTATGATGAAAAAGCAAGAAAAGAAGAAAATACCAGCGTCAACAATTGATAGCAGCAACAGTAAAATCAAACCTTGAAAGCCTCGTTGTCGTCGTTGTTGTTGATGTTACTGCTACATCGAAGGTTATTTACTCGTCGTTATGTTGTATGTATGTATGCATGTATGTATGTACGTATGTCTAAAGAGAGTTTAACCTTGTAAAAACGATGAAGAACAATGAGATTCCAGAAATTCAACGAATCGAAGCGCCCTTGACCGAAAACGAAGTTCTTTCTTACTCTCTCTCTCTCTCTCTCTGTCGTTGTTCTTGCTTATGTAAAGAATTTCAAGGCAACTTATGAAGGTCGTACATGTTTTGGAAGAAAGATAGAGTCACTTGTTTTATCATTATTAATTTTTTTTTCTCAATATATTCCCTTTTTATACAATAATATCATAGTGCTTTAGTCTATTATATTCAATGTAGTGAACTTTAATGTTCGTATTTTTCTGAAGCTCTACTGTATTCTCGAGGTTTTCAAGCATTGAAATGTATTTTTATTTTATTTGTAAAGAAAAAAAGAATTTGTCGTATTGCGCATCGACATAATTAGAATGCTATTTTATTAAAAATTTCTAAATCAGTAAAGTGTAAACCGGAAGTAAGCAATATAATAATATATATATTTATAATGAATCCTGTTTATAGATAAAAACATCTACCATTGAATAGTTGATGAAGACAAAATATTACAGCTATTCTTCGTTCTGTTTATACGTGATGAATAAAGAATGTTTTCCTGGAGAAACGAGGGGGGAAAAAGAAGATATAAAAGCAATATAGAGGTGAAAAGAAAAAGGCATTTTTGTATGCTACATATTTATTATTATGTAAGATCAACAAGTTATCTTGGAACATGTTTATTATCTACCTCATATTCTATGACCTTGCCAAATAGGACGGGACGCGAGAAAGATAAAAGAAGAAGAAGAAGAAGAAAAAAAAAACCCATTAAATCAAGTTTGAAGGTTGATTCAACGAAGGCATGTACGTACGTTTACATGAACATAAACAATATGAATTAGGATTTTCATTTTTTTTCTTTTTATCTCTTTTATTTTATCGTTCATACCATATTGATAATGTAAAACGACCTGATATCCGATAAAAATCTCGAGCCCTACTAGTATAACATTGACTTTTCGGTCGATTCATTTTTTTTATTCGAAATTAATTTTATGTATATTAAATTCAATTGCAAAGTCATTGAAGATGATGTAATACTAATTGAAAATTGATGTATTGGTAAAATGTACAAAGCCACGCAAAAAAGGGCAAGTAGGAGGGAAGAGAAAGAGAGGATTTTTTTCTTTTTTCATTTTGTTGTTCACCTTGGATCTCGTTTTTTTTCTTACTTATAGTTCACCTGTTGTGTAATGATAATAAGAAGCAGAATGAGGTAAGAGTTTATGTACTCAAAATTAGTTTTCTCTACTAATGACAGACATTGTCAGAAAAATAATGATCTCTCTTTCTACGGCCACTTAAATATATTCAATTGCTAATAGATGTTTCATAAGATTTCCACGGATAGGATTTTTCTTCTTATTTTTATCTTCACTTAAAAAATATGCAGCACTAAAATAAAGAGCATGACGCGTTTTTCCTGATATTATTTATTCTAAGACGCATTATATGAGTAATTGTTTTTTCTTGTTTCACTTTTTTATTAAATTATATATAGACGCATACCTGTTTTTTTTCTATTCATTCAATGCTCTCATAAATTAACAACGACTTGTAAGTGTCAATATATATATATATATATATATATACATAGAAACGGCAAAGTTTATCGAGTAACATTACTTGGGTCTATTCATATAAACATATTTTGGTGTTTTTCAGTTATCTAAAAATAGTTACCACTTGTCTTGCTTTTCTGTTTTAAGAAATAAAATGTTTTGTTTTTCATGTAAAAAATAATGTAACTAACCCATAAAAGAATACTTTTTCTTTTACAATTATCTGATTATAGTTCGTGATAAAGAAGAACTATTCTAAATATTGTGTTCATTTTTTAGTCATCTGTCCTGTTAGCATTATAAGAAGTTTTTCTTTTATTCTATTCTTTTGTAGGTTGTTAATAATAGACTATTATATATAGAGAAAAGAAAAGCAATGTATGTATTTTACTATAGAAACAAGAAAATAGGAGAACGTGTATGCATCTCGTATCGTAACATATTATGTCAATAATAAAAACAGAGCGTTCGCTTGTGCATATACACGCGCCCACACGTCGTCGTTACGTAATATTGACAACCTTGCTCGCCATTTGCGCCCAGCAGCTATTTTTTCTCCATCGTCAGTATGTATGTGTGTATGCGAGAGAAAAAAAAGAAAAAGAAAGATTTTTTGTTCTACTCAAAGAGCCTGCCTGTACGCATCTGAAGTATGAATGTATGTGTGTATGTATGTATGTAAGAGAAAAAAGTGCATGCGTTTGGTCGAGAAGCAACAACGATAATGTGACAAAACTGCGTAAAGAAAAAAGAAGAAAAAAGAGCCTTGTACTTGTGGCCACTAGGATAGGATATAGGATGTGATGGTTTCTACTCGCTTTCGCGTACAAACTATGCCCTTTCGACAAAGCATCACATACATCTTCATATCTATATGAGCAAAATAAACAAACACCATGCAATCGACGACAAGGTGTTGTATTGTCCAAGAACACACTTTAATTTTTTTCGTTTTTCTTTTCTGTTTTTCTTTATTACTTCAATTCAGTGTATTACCTAGATGAGACAAAAATGCGAATATAGGGCCTTGAGAAAAATTAAAATGAATATCTAAAATGTTGTGCGAATGATGTTTTATCATTTTCATCAGATATCGTCGATATTAATTGAATTACAATGTTGTTACCTATGTTGACAATTTTAATTATATGAATGTTCTCAAAAACAGATATTGTACGTTTGTCTACAATGTGTAACTACATTTAATTTATCTCCTGAATTGATGGTGATGAATGAAAAGAGAACGAAGCAGAGACACAGAGAGAGCGCAGCATTCGTTGAATGTAAAAACAACAGAAGAAATGCATTGTATAGAGCCATTTTTTCTCCTTCATTTATTTAAAATAACAACTCACAAAAAATGTGTATATACTTGTGGTGTCTTTTTATTTCATTCATATATTCAACTCATAGTACATTCCATGAATAAATAAATCATGTCCTGTTTCTTTTTCTTCTTCTTTTTTTTTATCTCGTTATTGTTCTCTGCATCTATATGAGTATTTTTGCAACGTTTATTGTATCATACGCAAAATCAATTCTGTTCTTTCGTTGCTTTCTGACGCCATATATTGCTTGTCGTAAACTTTTGCGGTCAGGCTTATCGTTCTACTAAAAAAAACTCGCGATGACTTTTGTTGCGTATATGTGCAAGAATACAAGAGAGAATGAGGTCGCGCTTTCCTTTGTTTTGGCCGCAGTGTGTAAGCGGCGTACGCCAAAAAATTACGAGAACAGAGTATGTAGGGACGTACGCTTGAGCGCATAACAAAAAAACGAGGGGCACATTTATTCGAGGAATACATCATCGGGCGATGTTCTATGTAGTGGTGTTTTTGCTTCTCTTGTCGTTTCCATGCATGCAATAAGAAAGAAAAAAGAGGAAAAAAAAGCGAGCACACATAAGAGGATGAGAGAAGGTAAAAGGGTCAGCCTTTTTCCCTCGATTTTTTTTCATTCTTTCTTTTCTGCCAACAGCACAGTTAAGAGTGACATTTTTACTATATCCATTTTAAACGACTCAGAGAAGTTGAACTCTCCTTCTAAATTGTTTATTACATAATAAAGCTGAATGTATTTTTCAAGCAATACACATACTCGAACATTTATGCACATATTCAACAGATGGTTCCCATGAGAGAATGATAAATTTTCTTTTTCTCTTCTATCTTTACAACTCGGATTTTTTTCTTCTTCCAGATGCTTTGTAAGTTAGTATTCAATGGTGGCCAAATGGTCAGATAATAATTAGTGCCGACCATGCACCGTTCTCGTCATCCAATTGACGTAACACTCATCGTTGATGATGACAACGACGATGATGTACCTCATCACCATTTTATTCCGTCTACAACTGGCGATTATTCATCACTAATTGTTGATTCGCCATCAGATACAATGTATCATCGTACTCAATCACCCTCACCCTCACCCTCGCCAACATCATCACTTTCTTTGAATAATCATACACAAGATCCACAACCAGCAACATCATCTTCAGCGGCAACAGCATCTGCTCATCAGCCTCGCCGACGTTTATCGCATTCACTTGTTGATCTAAATGGGTCCAGTAATAATATACATCGTGATCGTTTACGTTTCAATACATGGCCACGCCATCGGAAAGAAAAACGTGATATACTGGTTGAATATGATAAACGTTTGGCTAAGTCAGTTATACAAGAGCTCGGTATTGGTATCAATAAAACATATCGTAATCCATGGGGTAACTTATCTTATGCTCAATTGATTACACGTGCTATCGATAGTAGTCCATGGAAACGCTTAACATTAAATGAAGTTTATGAATGGATTATTAAATTTGTGCCATATTTTAAAGATAAAATTGATGCAAAAACAAGTTGGGGATGGAAGGTAAATAAGCGAAATTCTCTTTTATTCTGTCACAGAATAAATAAATTATATCATCCGATCACGTGATACTATTTCTTTTCCCATACCCCATACGAGAGTAAAACTCTTTTGAAAACAATGTGATTTATGAACTACATTCACTTCTTAGATCAATACATAAAAGCCATAAAAATTTATGACATGAATTTTAACTTTTAAATTATCGTATTGATATAACAGGTTTTCACTATTAATTCTTTTGTCTACTATTTATTTCCTTTCAGGAATTATCTTATATATATATAGAAAAGAAGAAACTAACAAGTTTTTGCACGTAAAAGGACATTAAACATTCTTTCAATATTAAAAAAAAAGCATAACCAAATTTTTACTATGAGAATAGTTCACGTTATTTTTGTCGAGGTCATCTTTCGTACATATAATTATTAATTTGATTGATATCTTGTTAATGATTTGTGTTGGTTTTTCTTATTTCAAATATAGAATTCAATTCGACATAATTTATCTTTACATAATCAATTTATTCGTGTGCCCGTTATATCATCATTATCTAAAGGTCCTGTGAAATATGTTTGGACAATAAACCCATCGTTTAAAAATAATTCACCGTATAAAAAATATAGTCTCAAGCGGAAACGAGCAGCTGCTGCAGCTGCACTTGCCTCACAAGCTGCTGCAGCGGCAGCGGCTGTTTCTAATGTGAATTCTTCATCATCGTCTTCATCAGCAGCGGCAGTAGCTGCATTATCTCTTTCACAAGATAGAAATTCGCCATCGTCAGTGTCCACACAACCGCTTATTAATATGTCAAATAATTATCATCGACAATCGTCAACATCATCTGCATCTTTGCAAAAGCCAAATCGTACTAATGATCATACGCAAGGAAATAATTCATCATCACTTAATCCATTATCGGTAGCTGCAGCGATGATGTCAGCTGGTGTTACAGATCCAGCAGCATATCATGCTTTTTTAAATTCTCAAGCAACAGCAATGCTGAATAAACATAAACAACAAACATTATCATCGGCAATGAATCAACAAGCATCATCGATGTCACATCGACCACCACAATCAAGCTTAAAATCATTTGTTCATGACACAGGCCTTCCTATTCCGAAAAAACTTGCACTCGGAGCAGATCCATATAAGCAACAGAAACAGCAACAACAACAACAACAACAACAACAACAACAACAACAACAACAACAACAACAGCAACAAGAGCAGCAACAACAGCAGCAGCAACAACAACAACACCAACAGCAGCAGCAGCAACAACAACAACATGCTGAATGGCTTTTGAGTTCCTACCATCGACAACAACAACAACATCAGCAGCAGCAGCAACAACAACAACAGCCACCGCCACCACCACCGTATAACGGTAGACATCCTCATTCATCTGGATCAACTAAAATGATGGTAAATCAACCACGTTCAACATATTTACCACCACCAACCTCAACAACTTCGACACGTATCAATGCTGATATGAATAATTTATCTTCATCGTTACAGCGACGTATTAATTCGCCACCATCATATTCATCGGCAGTTGCTGCACAAAGTAAATTATTAGCTCAAAAGAAACTTTGGGATGCTGCTGTACAAGCTGCTGCTCATGCTCAACAACACTATCATCATCAAAAGCAACCACAACCGCCGCCGCCGCCACCACCACCCACAACAAATCCTATAAATGAGCTTCAAAATTATATTAATTGTTCAAATTCATCTAGTGGAAATCATAATAAAATGTCAGCTTATATTAATCCTGAAACACTAAAACTTTTATCATCAACGACAACACCAGGAAACAGTTCTCATGATGAACAAAATATTTATTCGAACGATCCACGTTATAAACTCATGCGTCCATCATATCCTAATGCAACAGTTAGTTCTATACCACAACAATGTCTTATTCGACAAAGAATTAATCAAAATAATTCATCAACATTAACACAACAACAACAACAACAACAACAACAACGTGATATAGGCGCAGGTCTCTATAATAATTATAGAAGACGTTCAAGTGGATTTTCATCGACGACAAGTCATGGTGGACCAAGTGACGATGAAAGTGACGAATATATTCCACCAAGAAAAGATTCAGTATGAAACATTTAAACATCATAGCAGCTGAAGGAAAATAACAATGTATTCTTTTTTTTCTCTCTCTCTTCTAGTCTACTTCTAATGCATCAAGTGGTTATGAATCAGGTTTAGCACCCTGCCATCAATCACCACCAGTATCATCATCGATTCGTACTGAATCAGGCTCATCTGTAGCATCGGAAGCATCAACATCTTCTTGTTATTACAATAATAATAATAATAATAATAACAATAATAACGGTTCTAGTAATAGTACAAAATATGCAAATAAACGATTAACAAAAATGAATTCAAGTGATAAAGATATTGACATTGACGATCGTCAACAATTATCATTAAATACTGTTAGTGGTTATGTTGATGATCTTATGGAACGTATACTTAAAATGCCACCAAAAAAACGCGCAAAATTTTATCAAATGCTCGATGAAGAACGTTTAAAAGATCTTAATAATAATAATCAAGATAATCCGAGAAAGTCAAAAATAATTGAAGGTGAAGATGATGAAAATGAACATCGTATGGCAATGGACGTTTCAATGCCATTGGTTGTTGCTGAAGCACATAGTGATGAAGAAGACGATCGAACATTAATTGAATTGAAACCGAATGCAAAATCAGTTCATCTTAATGATGATGATAATGAAGAAGTAAAAGAAACATTAAAGCAACAGCAACCATTTTTTGGATTAAATGAAAAAAGTTACGAGGAACTTCTTTCAATGGGTGTACCATTAGCCGTATTAAGAGTAGTTGATTATCAAAAACGTCAACAAACACAATCACTTAATACAAATAATAATCAGGTATCAAATTTTTTAACAAACAAACGCTCGGCAACATCGTCAACAAATATTTCATCAGATAAAAACAATATACTTAATGCAAGTAAAATACTTCAAAGAATTCTACAAGAACATCAAAAAGAACAACAAGGTGAAACATTAATTGAATCAATGAACTATACCATCGATGAAGAAGGTGCTGTGATTGACGATGATGACGATGATGATGTGCACCAATTGTCATCATCAATGACACCTCATAATAGAAATGGTGTTCGGTCAAATAGTCATAATCCAGGTACAGTAACGCTCAATCCAAATGATATTTCATCGTTATCACCACCTACATCAACATCATCATCGCCGGATGAAACTGATGTGCATCATCAAACGAGTCCAACCTCACTTAGTCGACCATCAAGTACACCTGCTACTCTCGTTTCCTCTGGCTATTGATAGATTATGGTGGTTTCCACTAAATGCAAGTCAAATCTTTTTTGTCTCAAGCATTCTTCAGGGACCTTTTTTTTCTCTTATCTACTGCTCACAGTGCAACAATCTATCTTTTGTTTCTTTTTACTTCTTTCTGTGGTGTTTTAAACGCGAAAAAGCAAACAAATCGTCATCAATGTGTTATGAGTTTGCTCAACATGTCTTTAAAGAAGACAGAAAAAAACAAAATAAAACAAAAAAGTTTATCTGCTTAGCAGGTTTTTTCTCCTATTCCCGCGTATGTATATACAGGATTATCCTCGCAGAGACCTTTAACGTATTTGTTTTGTTTTCTTTTGTCTGTTGAATCTCTTGTGTCCTAATAAGAAGAAAACAAAATGATCGCTAATCATAATGTTAAAAAAAAATAAGAAATTAACTCCATAGATATCTACATTCAGACGAAAGTTTCAGGTTTAATCTTCTATTTTTGCTGCTTTCTTCTATTTGTTTTTCGTAATTTGACTCAAAAAGAAACGAAAAGAAAATTTAACTCTAAATATGAAACATTTACATCATTTCGAATGAACGAATTGACTTGCCAAGATTGTTCAATTGTTTTCTTCTTGTTATTGTTCTTTATCTATGTTTCTTGAATTCGTTAAATGTTTTATGCGTATTTTCCTTTTTCTAACTGCTTCGATACTTTTGATTTCTTATTTCTCAGGGATTTTTTTTGTCAAACTTTGTTTCTTTTTCAAAAAAAAAACAACATCGGCTGTATTGCGCTTTTATTTGTTTGACTTTTGTTATTCATAGCAAACAGTCTGATTTTCTATTACATTTACTATGATGATGATGATGATAGTTATATCTACATCAATTTTATGTTTTCTTCTTCTTCTTCTTCTTCTTCGTTTTTTTTTGTACAAAATACTTGTTTGTCTGTTTTGATCTCTCCTTTTTTTCTTTCTCTATAGTCACATCATTGAGCAGTGTTTAGATTGATTTGTTTTTTGTTCTAACATATATGTGAAGTCGAATTATATCTATCCGTTATTATGTATGTGCTTGTGTATATCTTCTTCACAGAACAGTATCATCATTATAGTTTGCTCGATTCAGAAGGAGAAAAAAAAGGAATTGTGAACGAGCATTTTATCGACTCTTGAACATAGCTTTTGTTTTACTATTGATTTCATTTGTATGTATCTATGTCTACGTTGTTTTTCTTATTGAATGTTTGTCTATTTTCCAAAATCCATCATCGGTATTATTGAAATCCATAATTTGATTTTCTTTTTGTCTTGTGTATGTCACGGTGTCGATGATATTCTTTTTTCTCTTCTTTTTTCTAAATGTGTCTATCGTTTCTTTTTCTTTGTCTATGTTTGTAACAATTTTTTTGCGAATAATAAGACAAACAATATATGACATATGTATGTGTTCACAATGAATAGATGAAAACGGAAAATTTAATTATAGATAATGATTTTTACAGGCCAATGTTGATCTGTATTGAAAAAGAAGTGATTTTTCAATTACATTAAAACTCTAGTACATGCACAAAAAAAAGAGAAGTTCATTCCTAATAACACTAATAGTATTTTGCTCATCTATACAGCAGCATAAACATTACTAGGAGCACCAGCAGGTTTTGGATAATGCATAGCAAAACCACTAGCAGCAAATGCTTGCGGTTGAAATTGATACCAAGCAAGAAGTAGATTTTGTAAATGTTCAGGATGAGTTGCACCTAATGCTGTTGGATTCATAGCGAAACAGACAAATGCTGTTCGTACACCAGAACTTAAAATCGATGCCATTATTGTTCCCATGGCAATACCAATTGTAAAACAGAAAAGTGCTGCCATACCAGCAATAGCTGCTCGCGAAGGTGAATGCGGCATTATAACATATGTAGATACGCCGCCAATTGCTGCTGAAATACATCCAATAGCAACAGTAACAATAGTCAAAGCATTTCCTGCTAGATCATCATTAATAATCATTGTCCAGCCACGTTGTTGAAATAGATCGATGAAACTTCGACTAGCAGAACGAAATGATTGACCTGTTAATGCAGAAAATACTAATGCCCATTCATTGAGATATCGTACTAATCCTTCAAATATTCGAAGAATACAAACAGCACAACAGCTTATCAATAGTAGAAAAATATTTCCATCTCGACGAGCATTACCCTCGTTAATTTGTGCAAATACACGTAAAGCTTTAATAAATGCAATTATAAGTGAACCAAATGATATCGTTCCAAAATTCGTCGTAAATGCACGTTGAACACTTGTTTCAACGGCATATTGTCGATGAGCATCTGCTGTAAACCACCATTGACCAACAACACATGCTGTAACAAAATGTGTCACATTTCGAAATACTAAGGCTCCCCAAAATAGAGATGTTAGTAAAACTATTGCAAATATACCACCTCCAATGCCACTTGATTTCTTATCATTACCATCTCCGTTGGCAAGATATTCAAAGCCTAATGCCATTAAACTCCAAAGTAAAATCCATAAGAACTGTAATATTAACATAGCAAGAGCAACAACTAAGACAGATGGATGGCTACGTAATGCAGCACAGCCAACTTGTAAATGAGCTTCAGCAAATGCAATACGATTTCGAACATAATATATATACCAAAGTGAAATAAGAACAAATATAAGTGTTATGATACCCATAGGCCAAGCGACTATAAATAAAGTGATACAAAGCAAAATTTGTATTGCAACACCCATGTAAAGAGAACATTTAATAATACGACCAGCACATCGTTGAAGAACAAAAAATGCAAAAAATGCAACAACTCCACTAATGGCTGCAGCACCAACGAAAACACGAATAAATAAATTAGCATTATAGTCTAATGCTGTTCGTGTTGGATCATCGAAACTTTTTCGTGCATCTGCGCGAACAGCAGGTATACCCAATGCAAAACCAAGTATGATTACAAGAATACAATGAATCCAAAATGCAATAGCAAAACCACGATCCTTCCATCCAGCCCAAGCAGTATTAAATTCCATCTGTGGACATTGTTGAGCAGGTGGAAGTGTATTGTCTTTTAGCGGTGGTGATGATCCTGATGCCGATGGGTATTCTGGATTATGAGATGGATCGACTGGATGATAGAGAGGTGGTGGACCTCCCAATAAAGAATCTCGTTCCGTCATGATACCTTGTTATTTATCTAAAGTAAAGAATATTAATACGACAGTAGAGAATTTATATCAAATGTGTATGTTGAACGATGAATGCAAACGTTTGTCACTATTCTCGTTCTACGTTGTTTTTTATATTCTTCATCTTAAAAGCACGTTTGTTTCCTTTCTTTCGCCAATACGGTGTCATAAATTAGTCATATGTTTGCTTTAAAGGTGCGTTTACTCATTCTAATCTGATGACTATCATTTATGTTGCTTGTTTTATGAGAAGATATTAACTGTCACTAAAACTATCAGAAGACGTTAGTTATCTAAGGACAAAAAAAAAGAATTTAATTTATAGAAGATAATATTTCGTAAATGTCGTGCAATAACATATAAACTGCGAATGTGCCCGATGCAGCGACCACTATCTTTGATCATTTTTCTTATCACTATTTGAATTTATTTGTACTTTCAGTTTTTTTTCATTTATTTAGTAAATTTATTTTGTTCGTTTTATAGTAGAGTTGCGGATGTTGTTACCTAAACATTACACATACACCTGCGTGGGATGTTTCCCATTCACCCTTTTTAATCTTCCAAATATGTTTTCTCTATTATTTACTTCATTATTTACCTGCAAGCAGCTTAGACATTCACGTTCATTTTCTAGCTTCTAAAAATAACCTTAATACATGTTAGTGTGCATTTCCCACAGTCACTTCGATTTATCTAATTGGCTATATTTTTATCTACTATCATTTAAGAGTCATGATAAATGTTTAAATATAGTGATTGAAATAACTATGATCCGGTTGAGAAAAACATGCTTAATACTGATTATCTGAGACTAAATTAAGTATTCTCTAATTGTGACCAATATAGTAGGTTCAAAAAACATACATTTAGATTTCAAAGGATTAACTGTTATACAATTAGATACTTCCATGATTTTCGTGGATAACCGTTGACTCCACGGTTATTTCAAATGAATTGAAAGAGAAATATAAATTCATAATGTATATCAAGTCATATGGAAGCGATATCCTCGATGTCAACGTTGTTTAGTCGATTGACTGAACTCGAAATGTTTACTTTTTTATAGTTCGATTAACTCAAATCTATTTTTAAAGAATAGTAAAAATTCTTCACCTTCTTATCATTGAAACATCAATAGCTAAATATTGTGGATAGAATAATAACCAATCAAAATTTTACTTTAAAATCTTAATTTTCTTTTTACTACTTAACTGAAATATTTTATAGAGGCCAATCAATTTTATTTATTATTTTCCTAAATTGAAATCTGAAACAATTTAAATGATTTTTCCGGTTTTCATCCTGTTTTTCTCTTAGAGTTATTATTAGTATTCAGAATGGTTCGAAAGAAAATCACAAATATAGCTTTTGTATCTATCCAATAAAAAGAAATGGATTAAAACTGGTTCTATTCAGGGTCATTTCTTGTATCCAACAAAATGAGACTTGAAAATTGGGCCAAACTTTAGGCTTTTTTTTATCTGGACATACATCATTGCCTATTAGGAATTCTATCTATAGACGAAAGACTACAATCGATAATAAGTAGTACTTATGCTCGTCAGTGACGTGAGAAAACAAAAGCAAACTGCTTTTCTAAAATTAGAATGACTGAAAATAGCATCGTACGTCCAACAATAATTAAAAAATTTATCAATTTACGTGTATTGAGAACTTATACGAGACAAAAACAAGGAAAGAATTATTTTCTTCTTGATAAGCTTTCCCTTGATGCTGTTGAATTCAAAGTTTGAATATAATTCAATTTATTTTCTATGAAAAAAGCTTCAACCAATTACCTATATTTAGCTTCTCTTTATCAAAATATAATCTTCAAAAATTATTAATAACTTCATTGTTTTGAGATGAAATCTTCTTGAATCGAAAAATCTTAGTTCAATATTAGGCATAGCGATGAAACAAACATTTTTTGTTTTCAATTAAAAGCCTTTAAACATAATGACTTGTATAGTAAATGATGTTATATTGTGAAAAGCTTGTAAATATATCTTTTAATGATTAAATCAGTTTCATAAATTTATAACTTAGGAAAATCGTAATGATGTTGCTCTTGTTTAACTATGCTTTCTTCACAATTACAATGACAACTACGAAAGAACAAACGAACGAATGCACACGCACACAACCAACAGAAACGATTTTTTTCCTATGGACGGACAACATGGGGAAGAAAGAAAAAAGACAGAAAAAAGTCCATGTCAAATTTTTATTTGCTAGCCGATTCTTCAACACCAGCTTTAGTTTTCTCAGCTGACTTTTCTTCGTCATCTTGTTTATTGTCCGATTTCTTGTCTTCTTGATGATTTTTACCGTTAACACCATTTTCAGTAGTTGCTACTGGCGCTTCCAAATCATCTACACCACCATCGTCGTCATCAGAATCTTCTCCCATATCTGGCATATCGCCCATGCCACCCATGCCACCCATGCCCTCCATTCCGCCCATTCCGCCCATACCTTGAATCATCATAATAGATATGAATTTCAATTTTATATTAATACTGAATCTTACCTCCAGAAAACATATCTTGAAAGTTTCCACCGAATCCTGGTTTTTCATCATCACTTTCATCTTCATCTTTCCAATGATCAAAATCAGTTTGTAACCAATGTAAGCGTGTTTTTTCTTTTGTTACTCGTGGCCAAAATGCAACAGTTGTATCTTTCTTCTTCAATAGTAAACGCCAATATTTTTGGCCAATATTTTCATATTTACAAGCTTCTGGATCAATTTTTTCGTACAAATCAATTTTAACGGCATAGGTATTTTTTTCTTTAACTGATGTTGTTTGACCATTAAAACTGACCGAATTTTCTTCAAATTTAACGTCAACTTTTTCAATATCAGGCACAGCAACCGTCAAAAGAACTGTTTCACGTTGTTGAGCCCAAAGAATATGTGGAATGTGAGTTTGTTCAGGCATGATACGAACGCGGATTGATACAACACTGCAAGAGCTAATACACAATGACGCAAGGAAGTATTCAATGAAGGCCTTCTTTATTTATTTATCCAAGTTAAATCGATAGTGGCGACATCATTTTACGGATTTGAATTCTTTTGCAATTATAATTATTTAATATTTTTAATTATTTTTAACCTGTATTTTCCTATCTTAATTACAGTTCGATGTTTTGAACCATTCAGAAATTAACAAATCATATTGGCTTGTCGTTATTTGTTTGACCACCGACACCGATGACTAATGACATGAAGAATGTCTTATGTTCAAGGTATTGGTACGCTTGCAGCTGGCGTAGCACTTGGAGTTCTTGCTACAAGCACTTATTTTCGTCTTTGGGATGGACGTGCATCACTAAATGAAGGTGCTTTACTTCGTTTCTCACCTGATTTCACTACACAAGTCATACGTAGGCTAGATCCAAATTTTGCAGTGTGCTACGATCAACGGACAAGAGTTCCACTATGGACACTTGAACATTTAACACGTGAAACGATCACAATGGGTAAAAATGTCGATAGAGGAAATTCAATATTTCGAGAAGATAATCGTATTCATACATTTTTTCGTTCAACGAATCAAGATTATTCTGGTATATAGAAAGAAATACGAGTTTTCATTCTCAATGTACTTTTCTCGAAGGTTCCGGTTTTGATCGTGGTCATATGATTCCCAGTGCTGATCATCGGTCGTCACAAGAAAGCATGAATAATACATTTTTTCTTTCGAATATTGCACCACAAGTAAAATTTTAAATGTCTCCTTTTCAATTGATATTTAGTTTTTTTATTATATAGGTAGGCAAAGGCTTCAATCGAGATAAATGGGCTCATTTAGAGAGATATGCTCGTGCACTTGTCAAGCATTATATTGGTGGTCTATGGATATTAACAGGACCGCTCTATCTTCCAAGGTATATATATATATTTATACTTTTCATTGAATCAATGTACCAGAAATACTGCAATACTAGCAAGCATAAATTCATAAATGTCTTCCTTTTCTTTATTTACAATGATCTTAATAGTACATTTATATTTCTTTTTAGACTTGATCCAACCGATAATAAACTCTATGTAAAATATCAAGTAATAGGTCCAAATCAAGTTGCTGTTCCAACACATTTTTTCAAAATAATGATTGGTCAACAAAAAGACGGTCAACTGGACATATATTCCTATTTAATGCCTAATGAACCGATTGATAAAGATACGCCATTGGAAAAATTTCTTGTTGCGCCTGAACTTATCGAACAAAATGCCGGATTCTTAATAACAACAGAAAAAATTCAAAAGAATAAAATTCGTACAATCAATCAACCATGGATTGATTTTAAACTAGACTCTCCTCCACCTTCGCCACGTCAAAAATCATTACCAACACCTGCAGCATAATTATTTTTCTTTTGATAAGAAATAAAAAATTTTGTTAAATTTTTCTATTCGATTTTGAATAAGAATGTTTACATATGATATTTACATTTTTAGATATCGATAATTTGATATTTTCAAACGATGGCTCTTGAAAGCGATCAAGTAAGCAAGTCAAAATCAATATTTTATTTTATACTATTTCGTATTTTTGTCTCTATAAGGTTTTAGCTATCTACGCTAATGTTCTTGGTGTAATTGTCTTTTTATTAGTCATTGCTTATCATTATGTTCAAGCAAAAAATCCTCGTAATCAACGAAATACAAATGAATAGAAACAATTTCAAATTCCAATAGAAATTGCTTTACTTGCTATTTATTTATTATCTGTTGTTTTCTTGTGTTCAATTAATTGTTATTTATGATCGATCTGAAAAATCATAGGAAATTGTTTTTTTCTTGTTACAGAAGAAATCCTTGTAAAATAATGAAGTACATATTTAAATACTCGAGTCAACAAATGTGAGAATAAGTTTTGTTTTTTGAATTAAGAATATCTCCGCAGTTTATTTGAAATGTTTTACACGTTTGCAATAAATGCGATGCATATCAATGACGATTTTTTTTCTTCGAAATAAAACTAAAAATACTTCATTTGTCGAATACGTTCGATATGCGTCTATTTGCTCAGCTCTTCTATTTTTGTGATATTACGCATATTTCTTTCACTTTTTTCTCTCACTAGAGCTAGTGCAACAGTGACAAAAGAAAAATGCGCCAATGAAAACAGCTCATACGCATGATTTACTGTGATTCCTACGAAATAGAAAAAAAAAACGCACTCATTTACTTTTGAGAAAAAGTAAACTTTCGAAATACATAAATATAGAAGCATCTTTGGAGATACATTTCATTTTTCTCTCGCTGCAACATTCGAAAAATTACTTCTTATTCAGAATACAATGCCTTGCCGATGTGAAAGTAAGCAATATCTCATAGGAGATTGTCGACTTGCATATGAATGTTTTTGTTTGTCTAGATGGTAAATGTACGTGCAACAAAGATTGCGTAAACACAGGTCAATGTGCATGTGATTCGAATTGTCAATGTCATCAACCTAGTAAGTTAATCCTTGAGATTCATTCTTATTTCATAAAACTCTTTGCTTCTATTGATTTAGGCACAGGATGTGGCAATCAAGCATGCAAATGTGAAAACTGCAAATGTTCACCAGGATCATGTACATGTGGAAAGTAGACAAAATAATTATTCAATGAACAATTTATATCTATGTTTTGTTGTTGTTGTATTATTCATTCAATTTGTTGTAATTAATAAAGTTTAAAACGAAAAAATTTGAATTATTTTTCGACTAAATGTGTAACTTTCGATGTGATGAATATGACAGGGTGAATAGTTTCAGCGATCTTCCATGTATCAAGCGATTACTTTCTATTATATATTAATTTTCAAAAATGGCAAACGTTATTTAGATTTTCAATAGCCACAATGAAGTTTCAACTTTTTTTTTCGATCAATATAAATTTATCATCATGCAGAAAAACGATCACATAACTTCTCTCGAATATTCCACTACACTCTATGGCGTTCTTTTCTCATTTACAGTTTTATTTGATGCCTTTACTTTAATTGTATGCACACCTGCTGTGTGAAGGAGAAAAAGGGGTGCTGGCGAAAAGAACAGGTAAACATCGATCGTATCTATCAAGGGGTGCTACTACGACTCAATACAAACTGCACCCCTGTATTGAAAAGGGGGATCAAACATCACCTCACATATAAATACGTGGCCTAGATTCATCTATTTCTTCATACAATATTTTCCTGCCATAGTTCGTTTATTATTATTCTCATCAACAAACGAAATGCCAAAAGCTTGTCAATGTTCAGGTGAGTCGAATTTTATATTTATGTTTCAATTATTTAATCTATGTTTTCGTTTAGCTGCAGGATGTGGATGTGGTGCTGGATGTAAAGGTGGTCAATGTGACTGCAAGGATACTTGTTCATGTAAATGTGATTGTAAATCATGTTCTCGTATGTATTCACATCAAATCTACTGCTCATGTTTTTTACTTTTCTTTTTCTTTTTCTTTTTCGATAGATGAAGGTACCAGCTGTGGATCAGCATGTGGATGTACGGACTGCAACTGTTCAGCTTGCAAATGTTCAACTTGAAAAAACAACATCTTGCACAGGCATTAAGTTTCTTCATTCATGTGTATTGTACTATTCTTTTGAATAAATAAACTTCTTATTGTCTCGTAAGAAAAAATACATAATGTTTTTTACATTTCAATTCAGTTTGTAATTGTCATGTAGTATTAGCTAATTTTTCAAATTTAACCATGAAGTCTATCATCAGAGCAAAAAACATTCAAACTGATTAACTTTGTCTCATTGAGAATTAAGAGGTATGATCTTTTTTTGGCAGTTTGGTTTACAATATTCTGACTTTCTTGATCTTTAAATATCAGTAGAAAGAAAAATTTAGTATTGTATTCGCTATCAAAATCGCTTATATGAACTAGGTTTATCTGTATCTGTTTCTGTTTTTTTCATTCACGTCATCAGATGAATATTCTCGATCATAAAATTAAAATTAAAAGTATTATTTACGAGTTGCACTTGCAACACATCCTTTTAATTCTTTCTCTTTCACTGATATATTTGCACCCTTGCCATTCTCAATACACAGCTGCACGAGCATGACATAAATTCACGTAGTCAATCGCAGGAATGACTCAACATAGACATTGATCATTTCTACTAACCCTGTCATGAGTCAGTGCTGCGAATGAAATGTCAAAGTCATCTTTTTCTTTTGCTTGTCTCAAATATACTTTTCAATAACTACAGAAACTACAGTAAAGCGAATCGAAACACGAAAATCCGAAATTTCTTCCGACGCGTAGAATTTCAAGAGAAGGATGGATAAAATATTAATTGCAAACATCCATAATTTATTTCACACTGGAGCTTCTTAGGATATTTTATTTGGACAAGCGACAAGTACTGAAATCAGCTAAGGTGCAATATGGCCGAATGTTATAATTGTATATGAGTATCGATTTTTGATAGCCAATTATGAATAAAATAGAACAGAAAATATTTAGTTCTGACAAGTGCCAATTCATTCTCTTAGAAATCGCAATTATTTCTAGTAAAAATTGAATTCTTTCATGTCGTTTTATCGAGACATACGTGAGAGAAAAAGAAAGAAGACAAGAAAAAGTACACATGAATATTTTTCGAGACATACGTGAAAGAAAAAGAAAGAAGACAAGAAATTATTACATAGATCTCTTTTTTACATACTGTACATTTGAGTCAAAGAAGAAAAAAAAGATTCTAATGACAAGCCAGTTTAGTTGTCTTCATCAGAGGAGATAATATTATTTTTTTTTCCATTTTCAATTCGTTCAATTCGTTTATTCAATTGAATCATTGCAGATTCTAAATTGCGATTTTGTTTTTTTAATTTTAAATTGTTTGTTTTGAGAAGTTTCACTGCTTCTTTTAATTTTTTAATTTCGTTAGCAAATACGTCGATTTGTTCTATTAACTAAAACACAATAAATGGTTTAAGAGATATATTTAAACTTCCAAAAAAAAGTCAGCTTAGCTTGTCATAAGTCGGAAAACCCGTAAAGTGGTCAAACTATTGAAAGAATACCGATATGAACGAACTTTTAAAGATTTTTCGTTGTCTTAATGAGTTCTAGTTATGAGAGGAATGCTACTTTAATCGGCGGTTAACACTTAGTGATGTTCGGTCGTTAGTTTAATCAGGAAGATTCCTGTTTGACAAGAAAATTAAATTCATTATCAGGTTCCGGATGATGTAGTAAAAACAAAAATACAATGGTAGATAAGAGAAAAGATCGTGATGCTTTTAGAAACGTCTGTTGTGAACCGACATACAACCAAAGCTTAGGAATTTATGTTAATAGTTGATACATTTGGATTTTTTGTTGTGTTATGACTGCATTTTAATGAGTGAAGACCATAGAAAAGAAAGTGGCCTATCATTTTACATACGATTTAGTTTACTTGAGTATTTTTACTCTCTCATTTGGAACCTGCGCATGAATTTCTTTCAATTTATAAAAGAATCCTTCGTATATGAAATTTTCCTAGAGAATTTAGCTAGCTATTCAAAACAGTATTTAGATTAAATGAAAAAATTCAAATGTAGAAAACAAGAATAAAAGAACATCGTCTCTATATATTTTCTGTAGATTATACTCACGTTTTCTTCGGGAAACTTCTTTATTCGATACTTTTCTTTGTATGTTTGTTCCTAAAAACAAATAAAAATAAAATAATTAGATAGTAATAGTGATTTACAAAAAGTAAGTGAAGTGAACATTCGTTAATAATTGAGAGAAAAATCATGCAAAGCCTTATTCAAATAACACGTTGGCATGCGTTCTTGGGGACTTAATCATCGAATGTCGACAGTTATTTTTCTCACTCCTTTCAGTGGCAGCAGTGTCAAAGGTCTAAAAAATGTCCACCTTACGTAAAGTCCCATTAGAGTATATGGGACTTTTCATAGCGTATGAAGTATAATGTAATCAAGTGCTGTGAGGAAAAGCAAAATACAATTCGTCGAGCAGCGGATCTTTGTCAGTTCAAGCGGACTTTTCTAATATGTTCAGGACTTTTCTGTTATGATATGATTTTATGTCAAAGTAATAAACAACATAAGACGAAAATGCGGCAAGGCTCTAATTTAAAATTTTCTTATGACTTTAGATGACTTATCAGCTAATTTTTCATCTATTTGAATTAATCCATCGTCCAGAATATTGAATGTTAATAAGAAATTTTTTACGGTTTTGATAGATTCAACCTAGATTAGACATAAACTAATTCATAGAAAACTATGGATTTTTGAGTAATCGTAGAAAAAGAAAAAGTTTTTTTTAATCATGATGGATCACCATGAAGATTATCATTGAATACGTTGTAATGCATACAATTCGAGACATGGTTTTTAAACAAGTGCAAAACAGCTTAGCGAACTAAAATACATGAGATATAGTATTTTCCTGCTTTGATACCCTTGTCACAAAACTCAACGCCTTAATACTTTTTATGAAGTTTAGTAAAACAGATTGAATTGAAATAATCCCTGAAGCATATAACTAGATGAAATTTTATTTAAGAAAGTTTTAACAGTATCGATTCATAATGACTATACTGACTTAGTTAATTCAGAAATAAATGATGATTCTATTGTCTCTCAACTTCAATATCTTAATTATGTATTCGTCAAATACTAAATATATATTGAAATCTCCTCCATCAATAAATCATGATGTTATTTTAACAAATAATAGTCGTATTGTATGCGTTAATAATATTAGATAGAACCAATAAGTTAAGGATTTTTAAATACACTAATGAAAGCAAATAATATTCTCATTTGTTAAGGAATGGATTGTGATAACGATGTATGATAAATACTTCTATTTGATTTAACAATACATAATTCAACACTATTACAAAATAAACATTTATTTGAAGATACACTAGCATTTATGAAAAACATCCATTATCAAGATGGTATATTGATCTCGATATAAATGCTAATGTATCATTTTATGATAAATTTGCTTTTTCAGTTGATTATGATTTTCATATAAATCTTTCAATTAACATTCATCCGCGAATAGAACGTTACAATCAACTGCCATCGTCTAAAATTATGAATCTATTTTTATATCAATTGTTTATTTGAACGAATAAGCAACACCATCTTGTTCATATCATTTTTTTCAAAAACAAGGCAAGACTTTAATTAGTAATCAAACACACTAGCATTGTGATAAATTTGTTATGAAAGTTTGGTAGTTAAACAATTGTTACCATGTGAATGCACGCTATACAATCAATGTTGAGCTGTGATTAAACGTAATAGTCTACTTTCATATTATCGATTTGAAACAAAATATATAAAATAAATTCGTCAATTACCGTAATTCGGATTTTTTATTAATAAGATGATGTCGAGCAAACAATGCAGCTGATCACCATGCACTTATCTATTGCTTTTCTTTTTCTAGGTTTAGTTATTTTTGTTCTATAATGAGATTTCATTTATATTCTTGTAATGGAAAATGATTTTCGGTGATATGTTAAAGACTATATCAATATTTCTTTTTTGTAGAGAGCAGAAACAATTTACAAGTAATTTGTTTTTTGCTTAATAAAAATAACTGTTATATTATACGAAAATGCAAACTTTACATTGAAAGATATCAATTATATTGCAGTCTTTATCTTACAAATTTATCTTTATGATGCATTAGATTTGAGTTAATTAAATTATTCAAGATCGTCTATAGATTTTAAAGATTGAATTCTCAAGTGTAATCTAGATTTTATAACTAAGTTAGTATACATTCTGATACATATCGAAGTCATTCTTGACATGAAGAAAAATAATCAACGAGACTTTAATTCTCTTGATTAATAGATGTGATGTACTTGTGATTCATGATATGGACTTGTCTTCATGATCAATTATGGAAAAGTTTTGAGTTCAGTATAATGCCGGTAGAATAGTATTCAAATTTAACATCATAGTCAAATTCCGAATAAAAATTTATCACTTGTTTAACATTTACACATTCATGATATTTAACTTGATTATTCGACGGATGAAGATACGACGATGGTGATAAAGATTATAATCCTGCTTTTTAAAATATAGAATAAGCAACGATAATTAAACTGTATTGGTTAGCGGACAAAACGATACATTCCTTATATGTAATGACAGCGGATGCTCTCTAGTTCAGGATAGCTATGAATATGACAGTCGTTTGTCACCATATCCATATTTTCATTCAAGATGAACATATTATTGCAACCACACCCTGCGTTCATAATGATGAACAATCTATCGTTATTTCATATAGATTCAATATCATTATTTTATAATTTACATCAAGCAAAAAGAACAGAAAGTAGTATGATCCATGGTAATATAGATAGTTGTGAATGCGATCTTTATATGTCGATTTATTGATATAGAGCCAGTCATAACACGAATTCGATTTTAAAGTCAATAGTCAATAATAATTACGTATAACTACTATATAATATTATTTTTAATTTATTTTAACATAGAGGAGTGAAAATTTGATCAGCAACACATCTAAAAATGATATGTAGTTAGCGAAGTTTCACTTATATCGATATAACAAGTACTACAACTGTGAAAAAGATAAAATACATTCAATTTTTTATACTAGATTATTTTTTCTCAGACATTTGTGCTTTCATCAACAGCAAATCTCTATATATGATTGAAAGAAATAATAAAAGACATTTTTGACAAAAATGTTGATTACACTAGCAAACATTAAAACATTTGAAGAATCACTCTATCCTATACTAGTATGCATTACAATTTTTACGACATGTCTTCGCCAAATTTAAGATTTTTTTCAAAACTTTCCTGGATTAAATTTTTTATCCAGTACATCCCACATACTGTCAACTCTTCAAAAATTCTAAATATAGTCATGTTGTTTTAACGATTCTATCGTTCATTGAAAGAAATTGTTATGAATTTTGCGATTAATGTTGTGACTTTTTTTAGACGATTATAACTCAATGTTATGAGTATTCTTGATCTTTTGTTTTTACATAAATAATATCTATGAAGTAGAATAATTCATTGAATGTCAAGAATTTAAGATTAAAATATATGATTGTGTAGCTTAAAAGTAAAATCAGATATATTATAGTTATTAAAAATCTATTAAAAATATTTTAATCATATAATATCTAAATTCTTGAGCGTAAATTTAATCATGCTTTCCAATATCAATTTCAGTAAGAAAATCGAGATCTCGCAACACATGCACTCATGTTGAACTATGCATATAATAAGGAATTCATTAATATATGTTTAGACGAAATACAAAAAACATTGTTGACTATTCATGCTTAGTAATCATCAAACAATATTCATACCCATTCTAATGAAAAAAAGGAATAACGTATGTGTGCGCAAGCTGATTAGATAATAATCTGTAATTCTTATCAAAAGCAATAAACGGTATTAATACTTTGAATACATAAATTTTAACATTATTTTACTTAGGTAAATATCTGACATTATAAATAAATCAAATATTCATTACAACACGAATTTGTTCGGTTATTTCAGATGTCGTACATGAAAACAACTTTGAAGTCAAATGATAAAACTATGTCAAATTCAAAACTGAAATAATGTGAATTTCTGGTTGAAAAATGCATCATATCTTAAGTCTTTGAATCGACTAGTTTTTAATTATAAAAATAGATTTAAAAAAATCTGTTCAATGAACCTTTTTCTATAAGCAGCAGACAAGATTTAAACAGATTTTCATAAACGTTAATACCACATATGTTTATTATTCTTGATAAAAATTTCGAAATTAAAAGTAACTATAAAATAACTATCCTGTTTGATTAATTATTTTATACTGCTTCCGTTATTTCGTATCTAGTTTTTGATCGTTTAAAGCGTGTAGTGACATAAAATGTTGTCTGAAATAGCTACTATACAATTTTTCAGATTAAACACAAGTGCTAAAGTTCGTTCCAAGCATATTGCCAAAAATTTGAAACAATTCACTAGTATCACTATCCTTTTTCATTGATAAATCAATGAATTCAAGTAAATGACTTATACTGTCAACATTACAGATTTTACTAGACCATTACAACTTCCTTTTAGACTAGTTTCTCATTGAAAAATAGTGAATATTAAACAAAAAATATGAAGAATTGATAAAATTCGAGTGAAATAAAAATTTGTACATATATGAGAGACAAGAGGATGTTTCTCTCTACTCGCGGACTTTTCTAGGTCCTATGGGACTTTTCATTGATGTTTTTTCGTGTTCGAAATAGACAGAATGAACGTTTTTATTGATATATCTTGAATAAACAGACTTATTGCATAGACATAGTGAATATGATGATATATCTTCCCTTCAGCGAAATTCACAGTTACCTGAATTTTTTTAGGAATCGAATTGTGTTAGTATATTTAAATTATATTAGAATAGGTTGGAATAATATCAAGAAATATATCATAAAAATTATTGAGGTATTTTTCTTTCGGTTTTATCAGCGAATGTTTTTAAATAATAATTTTACTCTAATTCGAAATACAATCTTTATTGATATATGTCGTTATCTAATGAATATAAAGATATGAATTGATTCAATACTTCGTATTTGATTGCTACTTTGTTGGAGCAGATAGAATTATATTGTTAAAAGTATACGATATTATGTATGATTTATTGCTAAAAAATTATGGTTAGCTTCATATAAGCAACCGATTATTTTTTAAGAATTATTTTCTTCTGAAAGTCATATTACGCTTATTAATTGTAATGACTTGTAGAGTATAAAAATACTTAACTTTTAGATTATCATTATTATGACTTGTAATAATTTTACAAACCGCTTCAAAGAGAATAGGATGCTAGCTTCACAAATTAAGCTAAATCCTGACGTCTTTTTTAGCACGGACATGACAAATTACTGTCATGAGATTGCAAAATTCTGGCAAATGCACTCTGATGCAATACCTATAGTTTTGATTAATATTGCTGCTACAACATGCGAGCAATCATATGTTTTTCGTGCGAACCAATTCAAGAAACCTCTCAATCTATACAACTGCGTTATTGCTAAAAGCTGTATGAATTTTTTATTAATTTTTTAGTTAAATTGTTTATAATTTCGTTTAAGCCTATGGGAAAAGTCCGATGCTAACTTTAGTGCAATCTTCGCTTCTAGCGGTTCGCAATTCACGAACTATGAAATTCCGAGAAATCGGAGACAAACTACAGGGTTCTGATCATATTCGTGTAATTTATAATGAAGCTACAACAGCCGGAATGCTAGATTCCTTAAAAGGATGCACCAGGTTATTAATGACAGAAGAAGGGGATGTCATTCTCAAACGCATGGGAGCTTTCCTACTGCCTTCTATTGGAGGTCGGGATACATTTAGTTTTGACGATTGTCGAGCTCAATTGATCAATTTGTATGATAATCCCGATCAATATTCAAAGAAATTAAAAAATTCTATTGTGGAAGTCAGCAATTCAAAACTGAACATCTTGGTAAATTAAACAATATTGTTCTAAAATAGAATTTTTTTTAATTTTTAGGCTGGACTAACTGGTGAAATAATTCAACAGGTAATAACAAGACGAGCTCAAAATACACTCGCTGATGCTTTATACGAGCGATTTTTATTTTGGGTGCTATCTGGTGATGCTATAGACACTCAGATCAATCGTCGAAATTGGAATTATTCATATTGGCCAACTATAGAACAGTTTGCAGTCATGATGAGCTTCTTTGAATGCATTGTGATGTATTTCAGTGAAGATTCAAACATTAGAATGATCGAGTGGTGCAACTTTATTAAAAGAAAAGGTAGTAATACATACCGAAAATAAAATTCATTTTTATTTTAGATGTAGCTCATTGTAAATAAAATTTGTTCCCTAAATTATAAGACAAATATTTTATCTATTAGGTAGAAATTCAAAAGTAGTTAAGTTTTTAAAAATAGTAGAATAATATATCTTCAAAAAAAACTTAGTAGCATAGAATATTTATATGAAACAACATGTTTGATAGTAATGTATGATGAATTAGATTTTAGGTCTTTTGACAGTTATCTGTATAATTTTTCATTTCATATGGAATATCATTTTATTCTATTTTTTTCTATAGTTTGTAAAAATTAAATAGTATTCCTACGTTAATCATTTGAAAACAAACACATTTTCAACTCAATGTTATAATTAGATTTATTACCTGATTTTTTTAACTTGCCGAATTTTTGTTTATGAACTGACTTCTGTGAGTAGCGAAGTGTGCCAATAAAATTGAGTTTTTCTTTTTAAACATGCAGCTTTATTGTCCCTATAAGCAAGGTTGACAATGAAATTGAGTATTATCGAATAAATATACCTACAAAAGCAATTATATTGTGAATAATTGATTCAATAGAAAGCATTGTTTGATTCCAATGAGTACAATAAGCATTAAATAAACATGATGAAAATATAAGAGACATTCTTTTGATAAAATTTTCAATAGAACTTGATTGCCGCAAGCATTATGAAAATATATTACATCTTAACTTTTCCTCAACTATAATTATATTTTAGGAGCTATTGAAGAGCAGGATGACCATTTAGCTAGCCGATATGGTAAATCAGTTGATGCTGTACACCGTATAGCTGGTCTCTGCCAAATTATTGAATTAACATCAGGTGTTTTTAAAGCATTTATTGAACGATATGGCTGCTTTGAAGATAATTCCATTTCAAATGAATTTATTTTTAAATGTGAAACTTTATTTTCCGAACTTTATGGTTCATATATTACAAACAATCGTTGCTTTTATATATCCATTGATGTTGTAGAACGGGCAATAGACGTCATATCTGGCAACTTAGAACAATACAAGTTGCTAATGCTTATTCCTGCTAATGAAATTTTCAACTATTCGTTAATTCTAAATAAACCAGTTGAATCATTATCTATTATAAGTCATATGGATAAGAAAGTTAAAAAGCGAGAAAAATTTGGTAAAAAATCATCTGAAATGGAGCAAGCCATATTGCTTTTTGATTCAGTTTTGTTCACGTTAAAAACCCTTTACGAATGTCGATTGTTGAAGAATGGTGCAGCTGTACTACGAGACATTTGTGAGGGTCTCGTCAACAAGCAAATTTTATCTAAAGTAGATCGTGCAACAGGAACTGGGACTAAATCAGTTACTATTTACATAAAAGTGTTGCCGAATCCAACATCAAGCATTGAATGTCAAAGATTTATAAATAAGTTGGCATTGTTAGAAAATCCGTCTATTACGATGCAAACTATTCTTGATAGCTGTCGAAAAATTAAATATTCTTGCAAAAACCCACCTACCCAGGCTGTGTTTAATGTTCTTAATCGTCCACAATACAAATTATTAGATTTGGATCTAACACCATTACACCAAAGTAAAGTCTTCGTAATGTTTTCGTAAAATAGAATAAATTTGATTATAGAATTTTTTTCTAATATCATTTACTGTTTTTATTAATAATTTGTCACATCTTAAATAATACTCATGTTATTGAATTAGGTACTGTGAAAGAACCAAGTTCAGTACGCCTCTTTTCGGATGCAAGTGTGAATGATATCAATTCAATCCAGGATGATTTTGATATTCCATTGAACAGTTAAGTTTCTTTGATTTCAAACAATTTCAAATTTCGAATGAGTGCTTTTTCTTAGATTGCGTGTTAAATAATATTGATTATGAACATAGCCTACAAAGAGAAAATTCAACAGTATCGTTGACTGGAGGGATTGATACTGATCTCGTCGAAAATGAAGAAACACAAATGACATCTGGTAAGTTCGACCTTTGATTGTTCATGATGATATTAACATGTTTCTCATCAACAGAGAATATGATGGTTGGCGAATTCAGTAGTTTAGGTACACATGATTGTTTGCCAATAACAGGTAATTCAAAACAATTAAAAATATTAATTAGCTACGAATAAAAATAAATTTAGTAGGTTCCGATGCATCATCTGATAGTCATGGTTCTAATAATGAAGACTGTAATCAATATTCTGAGAATCAGACGAGTCAGTCATCGACTGGTAAATATAATTATGCATATAAATACTGCAATTTTTTTTATCAATTATATATAGATATTGATGTCTTAGCAGGATCTTTGGGAGAAGAAATCCTTATTGATGCAAATGGTAGTGAAAATGTTGGTTTGTATTTTTCCAATTTTATAATATAAAGAATTTATAAGAATGTAACTATTCTTTGTAGTTACACAATCGAATAGATCGTCAGTAAATCAGCATCAGAATAAAAGAAAAAGATTGCCTGCATCAGAACTTATGATCTCAAAAAAGCCCAACGGTGTCGAGGGGGATGTCGAAAGTGTAGTGAAAAAGTCACAGAAATGTGTAACCTCAAAGGATGATTGTCATGAACCAAGCTTCAACACACCTATTGCCGGGCGATTGTGTCGAACACGATTACCCATAGCAAGATTTTAATACTTTTCATATAAAACGCTTTTTTTGATGAAAATTCTTTATTCATTGTTAATGTTCTTTCATTTTTTTTCTCTTTGTGTTGAAGTTGCTTCAGATACAAAATAAGTATATATGATTATTCATATTTGCCTTTGTTCATCGCATATGTTAAAAATATTGTTTTTCGGAGTATATTCTATGATCTGGATATTTAAAAACATATTGATGTTTAACTGCAGATAATTAATTGATTTTACATGCTAATGATGAATGAACATTTTCCAATGCTCACAATGGGTGGTCTCAATGTGAGTTTGTATTTTTTTAAACGACGATTTTACAGTCATTTTTTATTTATAGGAATATATAAAGGGAAGAAAAGGGTATTCTTCTATTCTTCAAGTGCTGGTATATTTGTAGAATCAATTGAAAAAAATTAGATTGTTTTTTGGTAATCTAGGATGTTCGGTTGATTAAAGCTAAAGAAGCTGAAAATACATCATCAGACAAACGTTATCGACTTATTCTCTCAGACGGTAGAAATTTTTTTAGCTGTAAGTTACTGATTATATTGTGAAAGAAATTTCTGTTTGTGAGCGTAATTTTTTATCTTGCCACTACTTTAGCATGTGTACTAGGTGCTGATATGATTGATTTGGTAAAAAATGACATTTTGAAGAATAACTCGGTCATTCGTGTTAATCAGGTGGATGTTTGCAATGCTGGTGTAAAGGGTGACCGGTACTTGCCATTAATGGAACATAAACTTTGGCATGTGAATGTATTTTGTTTTAGAGTAATTTTAATTATTCGTGATGTAACGGTGGTGTTAAGCGATTGCGAAAAGATTGGCGATCCTGTTCAACTCGGTAAGTGTCATATACGCTCTGCTATCTGGATTTGAAACGAAACAAAGAAATTTGAATTGTTGAGTAGAATTGATTTTGTTTGTATATTTCCAGATAATCATGATAGTATTCAACGAACTGCTATTTCATTGAGTAAGTTGTTTAAAAATATATGACAAAAAATATTTTGTGACATATTTGAAGATATTCCAAAAATACAATGCTTTTCAACAGTTAGTAAATCTGGTTTGGCTAAGAAAAATTCAAATGGGGAGTGGCAAGCAGACGACAAAAATTCAATTGAAGTAGTACTTGAAAAGCCTAAAATAAATGCAAACGAAATGTGTAATATCAATGTTCTTGATCCATTTCGAACTGAGTAAGTAAATTATTACAATTAAAGATTTTTTTTATTTTGAAATAATTCGAAAGAGTAATATCATAATCGATCACAGTTTAGCAATATTCGCAGTATTTTAAAGCTAATCACAGTTTAGGCTATTGTACTTGATACTTTATTCATTTAACGTACGATTTACTGTGCTCATTTGAATCGAATCAGGAGATAATAATGTTGTAGCTATTTTGCTAACAACTTCAGCTGTGAAACAAGTTTATTTCAGTTGAAAATTTCGAATCCAGGTTTTTAAATAAGGTTTTATATTAAAAGGTGGATGATCAAAGCTCGTGTAGTGAATAAAAGTTATATTCGTGAATATTCAAATATGAATAGAAGTGGCAAAGTCTTTAATGTGGGCTTGGTTGATAGCAGCGGTGAGATTCGAGCTGTTGGTTTCGACCATCTTGCGGAACGATTTTATGCAACGTTGGAAATTGAAAAAGTGAGTAAAAGGCTTAAAAATTAGATTAACAAACATACTTTTATTTATAGACCTATTACATATCCAACGCTAGTGTAGTGCCAGGAAAACAGAATTTCAATTCGTTCACGCATATGTATCAAATATTGTTGAGATCCGACACAACAATAGATTTATGTGGGAGGGAAAATGATGAAGTTCATGCTGATATCGTTTTTAATTTCATTCCAATCAAGGAAATCACACATCGAACATGTAATACAGTTTGTGGTACGAATACCTTAGTCATTATGCAAAAGTGATTATAAGTACTATTATCAGTTAACGTTTTTTTTTAAAGATGTTGTGGCAGTCATATCAAGTATTGATGCATGTAAAACATACTATAATAAGTATAAAAGAAAATACTGTGTTAAGAGGGACCTTATGATAATCGACGAAGATGCTTCGATAATGCTCACATTATGGGAACACCAGGTGACTTACTTTACTTTTTATTTCAACACTGATCAATTTATTTTAACTAGGCGGAATCATTTGACAACACTATACGATCTATTATTGGTATCAAAGGTGCCAAAATATGCGACTTTCACGGTATATCTAAAATGATGAAGGGTATTAAGGATATTGCAGCAGACGAATTTTGTAATCGAAGCGACTATTTACGTAGTTTTATGAAAATCATAGTGTTGAAGAAGTAAATTTGCTCTTCAAATGTTAAAACCTTCTAAAAAAAATTACATTGAATATCCTCTATAACTTCAATAAACTCATTCCCAGGTTCGCAAAGATTGAATTCCTTCGAAAACATATTAAAAAAAAAATATTATAAGCCGCTGTTAATGCATTTTATGTCTTCTCTATAGAATGAATCAGAATGATCCTTTTCTAACAGTTTCTCATTATTTTCGACATAAGCTAGACTATGTTTTAAGTCTATCGAAATCAGTACGTTATGTATCGTCGAAAGAAAATTATGTAGAATAGTCCGGAATATATTTCTTAGATTAACGTTTTTCTCAGTTTCCAATTTCTATTTTACACCTATTGCCATGTTCGATATGCAATATCAATTTTACGATTCATATTTTCGAATATGCAGACAATGATAATTTTATATTAGTTATCTTATCATGTGTTCGTCGTTATATAACAGACACTAAATAAGATAAAAATAATGTGCTAATGCTACAGAATTCAACTAGTCGTCTTGTTATAAGATTTTTCAGATACAGCATTTAGTTGTTTGGCGTTGAAAAACACTGAGAAGTAAAAAAAAATTGATAACAATAGTTACAAATATTTTGTCATTTTACGTCATACATGACACTGTATTTATTCAATCTTTGATTTGATTGAACCTAGCATCTACAATTACTAGAGATAAATTTTTATTTTTATTTATTTAAGTGCATATTTTATAGGTAGAAGCTTATCAGCCATAGATTCAACGATCATAAGATTCGATCTACCTTGCACAGATCGTATTATTAAATTAGAAACATTGCGAAAATCAATATTTCCAAGTTCAAATGTATCATGTTTGACAACAACAAGTCAAATAGACTGTATATATTATTTTTATTCTTGAAATATCTGCACCGTAAATAATGATGATCCAAATTTTTATTTCAGGGAGTATTGTAACAATCGATCAGGTGATAGCGACCGAACCTGATACTATGAAACATAAGAATACTCAATATTTTTATATCAAAGGATATTGTAGTGTTATTGAACAAGACCATGCAATTTACATGGTAAGATAGTTTTATTAAGATTTTTATATACTTTATTACTATTCTATTTTTTTCTAGGGTTGTTCTGTTGATAAATGTAGAAAAAAATTAGATGATTTGGGAAATGGTTTTTTTTTTTGTAGGAAATGTCGAGTACGACAAGAGGCTTTCAAATGGGCCTACTCATTATCGGTACATTCAACCATGACAATTCATCTAAATTCAATTGAAACATTTCGATGCTTTTTAAATAACTTTAGTGTTGTATTGTTGATCATACAGGTGAATTAAATGTGTGTATGTTTGGAAGTGCAGCCGAATCATTGCTTGAAATAAGTCCCGATGTCTTTCATCAATATAAAGAAGACGTAAGTTGAAATATGACTGATCAATATATTCCACTTTTATCTGTAGTCCAAAACAACAAATTTTGAAGAAATCATAATGCGCGGAGCGGCAAAAAATCAAATATTCAATATTAGTTCAAAAGTAGTTGAATATCATGTACGTACTATCAAAAATCAAAGATTGCCTTATTCTTGAGTGAATATTAATGAATGATTATGCTTGAAAAATCTATTTGATCAAGGTTCGCTTATGTAGAAGCTCTATTATTTTCTCTTTTAGGGTGAAAATAAAATACAGTATTGTTGTACCAGTATTTGCTCAGCATTATAAGACGAATGTACACAAAATAATGCAGAATATTGTTGTTTGTTTCAGTGATAGCTGTTTTTAGTGTATGGTTTGTTGAACTTATACCCTAACAAAACTTTGTTGCAGTTGCTTTTTTTGATGACTGAAAAAATGTTTAATCCTATTTTGTTTTGTTTTAGATCGAAATGATTCAATAATAAAGTGTACTCTTTTTTATTAACATTTATTGGAATATTATCTTACATCCTAGATGGAAATTTTGGATGAATCACAGAAGTGTGAAAAACGTTCACCATCATGTTTGAATTCGCCTGGAGAAATAATCGACGAGAAAGACAATAATAATTTAGAGGTAATAATTTCGTTGTAACAAGTTTCAACTCTTTTTGAATTTTTATAGATAAGTCATAATTGGATCAGTGTAAAACATTGTCGATCAAAGTTAAAAAAAATGAGAATATGCTCTAACTTTGACAACGAAGTGTCATCAGAAGCAGATGAAGAATCTTCTATTAGTGGAGACGAAGAATATTCAGCGTTTGAAACATCGAGCAACGATGCATTTCAAGGATCTTCAGTTAGTACTCAAACTTCTGCCGATGTATCAACTGTTGCTACACAAACACCTTGGACTATATATTTAGAACAGAAGTCGAATACAAACTATGTCGCCATGGATGATAGTGACAAAATTCTATCTAATATCGACACTTTCCACAAGTTATATAATAATGACTCTCTTGATAATCATATCGTAGAAAGTGATCCTGCATATATTTGTGATGATCAATTGTATGAATTTTTGAATAAAACTGGAAAGTAGACCTGTCCTAGTGTTTTCATTATTATTTTGTTATAGAATCGTCAATGCGATTTAATCTTGAGTCATTTGTGTTAACATTTACCATTGAAATAGTACTTGACACAGGACTTTGAACTCAATTTCAATTAGCATTTAGTCTTATTGCACTGTCTATGTGAATTAAATTTCTCAAAAAAAAATGTATGTTAATTTTGGAGGCTGTATACTTTAGATAATATCAATGATGACAGCTTACAGTACAAAGTCAGATGAATTAACTGTGTCTCGAACAAATACAGAGCATATAGCTGTAGTTCAAGAATTTCTAACAAAATTTTATTTACAGGAAATAACTTTTCTGGCTCATCTGAATAGTGTTTATTCTATTTATGATTCTGAACGCGTTGAACGAATGGCATCACAACTTCGATTAACATTTGGAGCTGATCATGATATTAATCATGTACGTGCTCTACTCGACTTCTTTTCTGATCATTCTCGACAACCACAGGCTTGGCATTATATTAATATTGATCAACATTTATTGAAAGATGCTGGTGCTCATCATCTCGAACCATTTACAATAATATGTCCAGAATGTAATCAATATTTAAATATAAATAATTCTAATAAGACAATGGTTTATATTTCTTATCAACGTGGAAAAATACTGCGAGGTATGAGTTAATAAATGATCTGATATAAGAGAAAATTTGATTGAAATTAAATTTTCAATCAAGAACTGATAGAAATGACATGATTTATCTAACTTTTATCTGATCATTATATACTTAATTCATTTTAGATTAAAAATAGCTAAAAACATATTTTTCATAGCTTTTACGATACAAATTCATTTTGCTAATCATTTTTCAGAACTCTTGAAATTGACAAAGAATATTTATATCATATTAATGATGTGACAAATACAAAACGTTTCTAGATTTGATTATAGCGAAGACTTACTTATTTTCCAAGCATTACGATTAAAATAGTTCAGAATTTCAAATTGACCGATTAAGATCAGAATAATATAATGCTCTTATAATGGTTTATGTGAAAAACACTTATTCTAATCAAAATCTTTGCTTTTTTTTCAATATGTGAATGCTTTAATATTTTTCTTTTATTTCATTTGTGAAGGAATTGTTTATTCGTTAATGTGTAAACATCAGAAGAGTAACTATGGCAAGAATAATGTACCTGTGATGATTTTTCCCAATTTTATCGAACAAGGAAACAATAAAAGAATTACAGCAAAAAGTCTCCAACATGGTGAAATTGTTTATATGGGTGGTAAATATGCTTATGAACGCGCATTGATTGAACAATATACTGCTGATTTAGTTACTAATGCTAATTCTTGGATGAAAACTGTCGATAGCTTAAATTTACAAGCATTTAATAGTGAACAGCATCAAGAACATATTGGAGATAGAAGAACATTAGCACGTATGATGTACATGTACAACATTGTTCAATTCGATTTATTTTTAGGCACTCCACATGTTGAATTACCAAAAGCGTTAGATAATTTTGATGATTGGGTGTGGAGTGCTTATCCTCGATTATTGACAGCATTCATTTTTTTCTGGTCTAGACACAAAGAAGTGATTGGATCGTGCATTGGAAATAAATGTTCGGAAGCATTAGTAGTTGATGGTCATCAGAAATGTCGACGACGTGTCTGCAAAATAAAGGATATTGAAGTGCAAACCGACCTGTTTGAAAAAATGCTTGTTGGGTGCTGTCGGACACCAGCTTACAAGTCTGAATATTGCAATCTTCATTTCTATAAAAATGCGAAATCGTCTGAATGCATTACTCAAACAACTGAACGGACGCTTCCGACACGTTCACACTTTAGTCGATTTAAGAAATCGAGGACAAAAAAAGAAAGAAATTTCGGAGCAACAAATTGTCGTACAAGCAAAGAGAGGTCAGATGCTTATATACGTAAATGTGCTAGAAGCTTCGGTGTGATAGCAGCAGTAACCAACTGTGGTATTATAACCACCTTCGGTGAAATTTTTAGAACAGAAACTCTAAAGGAAATTCTACAACTATTAACAAATTGTATAAAAGGTATCACAAAAACAGTTGATTATATTTCATATTGACCTATCAAATTTATTAATTCAGCATCTGGTGTAATACCAAAAACAGCTGTTTATGACGATGGTTGCCATCTGATCGAGTATCTTCATAACCATATTGGTAAAGACCTTACGGCAACGCCTGCTGCAAAAGAGTTGGCTAAAGTGAAATTTAGTGTGGATAGAACACACTTTCGAAACCATGTAGGATCCTGGTGTCGATTGAATATGAATCCAAATGACAATCCATGTATGCTATAATTAATTTAAATAATTTTTCATTTAAAAAAAAAGCATTTATAGTTCTAGTAAATGTGAATACACAAGCGGCAGAGCAATTATTTAGTTGGTTGAAGGGCTACGCTACAATCATCAGCAGTCTCGGATGGAGAAGAGCCTCGATGTTTCTTTTGATATTATTCCACCATAAGAATTTAGAGACAACTAGAACGAAATGTAATGCAGTATTCAGCATAGTGAGTAAAAAAATAACAAATCAAAGAAATGACCTTATCTATAAATAAATTTTATTTTTAAAGATCGATCGTGTACCTTCAGTTCCCGACATCAGCCTAATGCACACAGCAGATTCAATATCAATTTGCCAACAGGTATCAAATAACGTTTCAACAGCGATAGCTTATTCAAAAGATCCACGAAGTGTAGACTCCCAGGACACTTCAAAAATCCCAAAACATACACGCAAGCGTAAACACGATCAAGTTATCGATCAACAACGAAATGAACCAGAAAATCTCTTACCGTCGTATACAAAAACCAACTGGTGCGCTCAAGTGAAAACGATTCTTGAACGTAACAACTTGAAAAAGAAGAAAAAAACCACCACACTTGAAACTTGAACATAAACTATAAAATGCGAAACTTTCATAAAGTCAAATAAATATTGAATTTCGCCAAATTCTAAAAATATTACTAATAACGTATCACATCCCCACAGATAATAAACGAAGATACAAAATTTATGAGGTCATCAGAATATTCCACTAATTCCAAAATCGAAGCCTCAGCTACAGGAGATGCATCGATAGATCAATGAAGGTGGAACCAACTCGAAACCCAATTATCATTATACAGATAGAAAGATCCCGCATCAGAAACGAAAGGCCCTAAGAAAGGCCCGCTGAAGAAAAAGAAAGATCCACTGTAAAACAGAAAGGTCCGCTACAAATACTAGGAATATGTCTACATGAATAGAGAAAGGTCCTTATGATTTAGAAAAGTCCCTTGGTGAATATGAAAAGTCCCATGAAAGGTCCGCTGAAGAAAAAGAAAGATCCGCTGTAAAATAGAAAGGTCCGCTACAAATACTAGGAATATGTGTACAAGGATAGAGAAAGGTCCTTATGATTTAGAAAAGTCCCTTGGTGATTATGAAAAGTCCCATGAAAGGTCCGCTGAAGAAAAAGAAAGATCCGCTGTAAAATAGAAAGGTCCGCTACTAATACTAGGAATATGTCTACTCGAATAGAGAAAGATCCTTATGATTTAGAAAAGTCCCTTGGTGAATATGAAAAGTCCCATGAAAGGTCCGCTGAAGAATAAGAAAGATCCGCTAAAAAATAGATAGGTCCGCTAGAAATACTTGGAATATGTGTACAAGGATAGAGAAAGGTCCTTTTGGATATAGAAAGGTGCCGCATCAAAATAGAAAGGTCCTTTGGCATTTTGAAAAAATTGATATAACTCATAGTCGATAAATGCACTACACTTTTGTTCGATTAGTAATATCCTTTATAACTTCAAAGGACTTTTCGTAAAGTGGACATTTTCTGGATCTTTGCCAGCCCTCTTCAGTGGAATGATGCAGAAATTTTTATTGATATTTTTGCTATTAAAGAGTTTGTCATAATAGTTGCGTGTGTGACAACAATCATTAACGTATGGCTAACTCATTCGGAGACGTACACGAATAGGTGTATGACTTTTAAGTGAATGTTATTATGCAGTATTAAAAAAAGAATTTTATAGTGTTTAATATACTAGAAAGCTTCTTATTTCATTATAAAATGAAAACTGCGTTACTACTTACATCATCACCACTATTAACAGAACCTGCTACTGATAGCATTTCCTGAAAATAAAATCAGAATTAAGCAATACTAGGATCAACACAGGTTCTAAAAACGTTTAGACAAAGCTGCACAGAATATACGAGCAGGTGCCACCACAACTAACACAAGAGACTAGTATGTATAAGAAAGAGTGAGAAATAGAAAAGTTTCAAGAAAAAAGGTGATGTAGAAGGCAGATACATGTGGATCTAAATTTAACTTACGTGGGTATGACTGTGTTTTTTGCACATGGCCTTTTTATCTGAAAAATAGGCACTAATCTTTAAAGAAGCGCACATACAAGCCTATAAAGACTGTTAGAAAGAGAAAATGAATAGCAATAAACATTTTCTGAGAATAATATTGTGCTAAGCTTTCAAAAAAATATCAGCTCCAAGTTTGTTCTCTCACTGAGATACACCATCAAAAACGACAAGCATGCTCAAATTAGAGAAAACAGGTCAGAAACTTTCCTCAATATCAGAGAATGTCGTCGTAAAACTTTTGACAGCAGAAGACGGATATTCTTTCAAAAATTCCTTCGTTATATGTAGTTAAATCTAACTGGTACGAGATGAAGTGGACTGCTGATACCAAGATGCCAATCACAAGAACTATTCAACCTTCAGAAATACTCACCACTGCCAATCTTTTTCACGTGATCACGAAGAAATAAAAGAGTGAAAAATCAACCAATCGATCAATCATAAGTCAGTACTTACAAATATAAACTACGTATTGCGATAAGCCGAAAATGTAGACGTAGACGACGTAACGCGATAAACAACTCAGGTCGATGTTTACGGAGTCCATATACGATCGTCAACGGTTGTATACGCTCCGTTTGTCCTCGTATACGATCGTATTTGACCGTAATACATGGCTCAGCATTAGGATCGTATATCATCGTGTCGTATACGCAGAAATATGACCATATACGGTAAAATACGGAGCAATACGGAGATAGTATACTGGCGCAATGTACAGGAATCGGGAACGCTCGTTTTTTGTCTCCGTATATGGTCGTATTTTGCCATATACGACACGGAGATATACGATCGTAATACTGAGACATGTATTTCGCCCTATTTCGCCGTGTACGGTCGTAAACAACCGTGTCTGTTCGACCTGGGAACCAGAAAATGTAGACGTATACTAAGTAGTATGATTACAACCCGAAATCTAAAATCTAATCTAATATAGTTGTATCCTAAAAACTTTTAAAATTCTTCTTAATTGTGAATATCTGTAATAATAAAGACATTGTACAAAAAATCTGCAAGACAGAGAATTGCCATCGTATTAGTTGTATCCTCTAGCGTGAACAATAATGCGCCTGTAGAGTAGGGTCGTCACCAGAAAAATTTTTTAGGGAGGGCTAAGTCCTTGGTCAAAGTCTAAAACCTCTGTAGGGGTGGGGCTGAGCCCCCTGACCCCCTCAGGCTACGCCCCTACTGTAGCGGGAGATACAATCGTGGCTGTGTATGAAGATGTGGACATGCGGATGCGGACTCATAAAGATAACAGTCGTCAGAATTTGATTCATGTGTTCGATATCATTACAAAAGTTGTCAAATGTGTGCAACTTTTTAATTCTAAAATTAACAGCACATTTTGAAATAGGTGGATCCTTGTCATTCTCAATACACAGCTATACCAACATGACAAAAGTTCACGTAGTCTATTAAGAATGACTCAAAACAGACACAGATCATATAGTTTCTAACACGGTGGCAAGACAGACAGCGCTGGAAACGAAATAAAAAGCATATATTTCTTTAGTGTTTCTCAAGTATAATTTTCATTAACTATAGCAGAACATCGTTTTCAATAGATGGTAATAAAAATAAGCTCTTATCATTACACTTTGTAACCATTGGAACTGATAATAACTTATGATCACATCATTCACTGTTGATTTATTCATTTTAAAAGATATGAGAATTTTCTATTTTGATGATCTAAAAAATATCATGTAAAACGTTTAAGTGGTGTATATGAAAAAATGTTAAATATTTCAGGCAATTTTTTGCGTCCTTTTCTATTGTTTAAAAAATGTGACATTGTTTACGTACATTGATTATCTAATAACGTAAAAGCATTTTTTTTATTTTCAATGAGTTAAACAAACTTCAATGATTTCTCAACAACTCTTCTATCATCAAAAACAAATAAAAACAGCGTTGGTTATTTCTTTTTCGACGATTCTACTGAGCAGGCACATTTGTTCTTTATTTCACTTCTTGAAGCGGAACGATTGTACAGCAAGGTGAAAAGGAGTACTGGTGAAAAGAACAGATAAACATCAATCGTATCTACCATATGGGTGCTACTACATACTACACAATACAAACTACACCCCTGTATTGAAAAGGGGGATCCAACATCAGCTCACATATAAATACGTGGCCTAGATTCATCTATTTCTTCATACAATATTTTCCTGCCATAGTTCGTTTATTATTATTCTCATCAACAAACGAAATGCCAAAAGCTTGTCAATGTTCAGGTGAGTCGAATTTTATATTTATGTTTCAATTATTTAATCTATGTTTTCGTTTAGCTGCAGGATGTGGATGTGGTGCTGGATGTAAAGGTGGTCAATGTGACTGCAAGGATACTTGTTCATGTAAATGTGATTGTAAATCATGTTCTCGTATGTATTCACATCAAATCTACTGCTCATGTTTTTTACTTTTATTTTTATTTTTCGACAGATGAAGGTACCAGCTGTGGATCAGCATGTGGATGTACGGACTGCAACTGTTCAGCTTGCAAATGTTCAACTTGAAAGAACTACATTATGAATTTGCATTAAATTCTCTCTTTGATGTGTATTGTACTATTGCATTGAATAAATAAACTCGCAGTTGTTTCATATTTAAATATAATTTTCGTTCCTTTCAAATATGTCATTCAGTTATCAGACGTTCACGATAAAATTGTTCATAGGAGTTGATAAATGATAGAAAAACAGTTCCTATTATCGTCTGTGTACAAGTTTCCCCTATCGAAACATGCACACATAAAGCATAGATACTTTTTCTTTTGCATAAACTATTTAATGTACCCCATACTCTTTTAAGAAGATCGGTTAGTGCACACAGTGAAATTCGAAATAGATCGGGTCGTATGATAAAACATATTTAATAGGAAATTCAATTTTCAACACATAACCAGGTACCACCCTGCTATAAATATAAACACAAGAATTTTAGCAAAACTATGTATAATATTAAGGTAAAATTACATGAACAGGAATAACTTCAATAATATTTTCGATATTGCCTGTCAACTAAGAGTGATGTTTGATCATCTTCTAAATCCAGTGACATACTGGAAAGCGTACTGCACCTATGACATGAGGCAGCCAAAAATGTAAGCATGTATGTGGATTACGTAAACAAAGAAGCTCAATCTAAGCAAGAGTTTCTTAATGAAGGATTTATTTTTTAATTTGAAAAACTTTAAAATCCCTCAAAAACATTGTTTTAGATTATTTTGAATCTTGAAATACCATATCTACAACTGTGATAAGAATTTTCTTTCATCATCAATTTTTGCAAAGAAAAATTTCTCTTCGATTTTGACCTTGATGCTCTTGACTTTTATTTTTTCATGCATTTACATAATACTCATTTTATTAGCATTGACAATCAAAGACGCCAAACAAAATTTTCATTTTCACAGTTTACAATAAATTTTAATGACTTTCGAAACAAAATAACAGTCATACTCTTTTTTCTCGAATATTCCACTTCACTCTACGTTGTTCTTTTATTTTATTG